GGAGAGAGGAGAGAGAGAGAGGGAGAGAGGGGAGAGAGAGAGGGAGAGAGGAGGGAGAGAGAGGGAGAGAGGAGAGAGGGAGAGAGGAGAGAGAGCGAGAGAGAGAGGAGAGAGAGAGAGAGGGAGAGGAGAGAGAGAGAGGGAGAGAGGAGAGAGAGCGAGAGAGAGAGGAGAGAGAGAGAGAGGGAGAGGAGAGAGAGAGAGAGGGAGAGGAGAGAGAGAGAGAGGGAGAGGAGAGAGAGAGAGAGGGAGAGAGAGAGGGAGAGAGAGGAGAGAGAGAGAGAGAGAGAGAGAGGAGAGAGAGAAGAGGAGAGAAGAGAAGAGAAGAGAAGAGAAGAGAGAGAGAGAGAGAGAGAGTCTACCCGAATGGCCTCTCTCTTCTCTTCTTCTCTCTTCTCTTCTCTCTCTCTTCTCTCTTCTCTCTCTTCTCTCTCTCTTCTCTCTTCTCTCTCTCTCCTCTCTCTCTCTCTCTTCTCTCTTCTCTCTTCTCTCTCTCTCTCCTCCCTCTTTCTCTCTGTGGTTGCAAGACACGTGTCATCTGATGCCCTTTACCAAGTATCCTCTTCTTAATCACTCTTGCTTTTTCACACCTTATCCCTCCATAGCTCATATAAAATTCACCAACCATTCACCGACCATCTTTTACGACTACCATCCTCAGAGCTGCTTGAAAAACATTTTTTTCGCTCTCGGGCCAACCGTCGTCTAGTTTCTTGTCGTTCGCAAAGCGATTTCGTTTGCACGTTGGCCGAAGAAACGTTGTTGGCGCATGATCCCAAGGGGCTTGCAGCTTGCTTTGCAAAAGGGGCGTCAGAGCAGGCAAGTTTGGAGTGTGAAAGATGTTCCTGCAATTCTGAAAACCAAAATTGGCCAGCTGGTGCGTTCTCATGATCCTTTCAGTTGCGCGCGTTGCGGAAGAGAAGAACCACGCATGGTTGCAACTGTCCATGATGCAGGCCAAGTCTTTGAATGCGTCGGTGTTAAAGAGGCTTTATTTGCATCTGCGCAGGTCTTGGATTTGGCACAATCCATCACAAACTGTTTGTATGCATCTGTGTTTCGACGGGAAAAAAGGTATGCTTCTTGTCCAGCATTTGCACTCGGAAGTTCAAATGTTTCAGCTTCTCAGGGCTCTTCCTGTGCTTTGTTGCCGCAATCACTGTCGTTCATGTTGTGGTCGGTTCCCAGTTCCCATGTCGTGCAGCTGGCTACGTTGCCTATATAGGTGGCCTCATGCCAGTGATTGCTTCAGCCCTAGTGCTTTGCCTGAACGAGCACCGATGGCTTGAAAATCGGTCACGCCGGGCGCATCATGGTTTCTTGTTTCCTTTGTGTTGGAGCCAGAGAATTGCTCCCCTTCGATATGTGGATTGACCTTCTCCAGATTAGCACTTTGTTTTGCACTTCCTGCTTGTGTGATGTTCCTGCCCTTGATTTATCGGGTTCCATTTGACTTGTCGCATGCAAGCACTGAGGTTGATTGGACGGATGTGTGCGTAAAGCTTGGGCCGTTCAACATTAGCATGGTTCAGAAAACAATTTCCTTAAAGCCGCCCATGGGCTGCCAGGCCAGGATCATGGGAAGATATCGAAGAATGTCTCCAGCAGGTGCCCAGCTCCAAACTCAAGGGCATGCTGCGCAAGACAGTCCTGAAGCCGGCATCCACATCCAAGCCGGCCGTGCTCAAGACCGTCTTGAAGCTCTTGAACTCTGAATTTGCTTCAGCGAAATGAGCTGCCTACAGATATGGCTGGAGAGGCGGCGCATCGGATTGGGTTTTTCCCATGCTGTTGCTCAGCACTTGTATGGAAGAGGCAAACCCCGGTTTTATTTCCTGTGAAAGCAAGCCTAGACCCGGGCTACCTTCGTGGCTTTCTGCACCTTTCGAAGCCTGCGGGTTGAACGCATTCCGGGGATGCCCCTGAATATGTTCACTGTGGCCTTGGGTTTGAAATGCGGCTGGTTGCTTTTTGCACAAGCAAAGTGCTTTGTCAGCGTTTTTTGAACCATATGGTGAGGGGCATAGTTCAGATGGAGAAAAGTATCTGTCAGGAAAATCTTGCGCACAATCTTCTGCAGAGATCTTCGCACAGGGAACTTGCAGAATATAACGTGGCATGTTTTCTTGCAGAGACCACTTTGAAATCAACACCATGCAGGTCGCTCCGGGCCGTGCGTTTGCGGGGCAAAGCTAGGTGCTGCTCGGGGTTGCCTCGCTGACCTCGCTGCCTTGCAGGGTAGGCACTGCTCCTGCTGCACCGTGCTGCAGGGTTGCGCTTGTGCATTTCCCCTAGGGTGTGGCAGGGTGCTTTGGCTAGACTGCTAGGCATGGAATGTTTGCGAAGCCGCGGTATTGTTGCAACAGCGATGCCGTGGTTGAAAATATCGGAAAATGATGGAAAATGCCATGGTTTATGTTGGCCAGGCTGCTCTGCATGTTTCCGTGGCGGGGATTGTGCATTGATTCCAACAAAAAATCGGTGGTAGTTGCTGGACAAGTAATAAGCCAAAAGCAAATCAAACACTGCGGGGTAATCTGAAGCCCTTCTTGATTGCAATGGTGCGCGCGCAGGTTGAACGAGAGCGCAGAAACCCGAAAGTTTCCGGCCGCAGTTTGCAAATGAATTGACAGGTGGGTCAAGGGGCAGGAAACCGGAAACAATACCGGCCTTGGAATGCCTGCGAAATCGCCATGGCGCAGCACCTCACAATGCCAAAAACCGTGATGGCATTTTGCGAAGCCTCGAGATCTAACCAATGTAAATGGAAGTGCGTGACCAAGGGCGACCTACTTGTGCCCACAAGTCTGCAGACAACACAAACGGCAATGTGTTCACTGAACAGTTCGCAGGGGGCTCGCGCAGGCACAAACAAATAGCAACTGTGCAAAATCAAATCAGCATGTTTCCTGGCAAAAAATTGGCAAATACCTATGCCTGGTCAAGTCTTATTACACGAGTTTGGATGCCATCGTATGCCAGTTGCGTATTCGGTTGGCAACAAATGGTTTGGCAGGAGATGTCGGACCTCTTTGCCGAGCAGTATCTGACGCAGTGTTTGATCAGAATACAACGCCGCAAGTGTTCTTGTCTTTGTGCCCTACTGCTACTGAAGCGCGGGATCTTTGGAAAGAACCACTTGCCCTAGTGCTTGGTGTAGCGCAAAGGCTACCTCAACATCTTTTCCTTGGCCTGAGAGATCTTCAAACCGTCCTGCGCTCGCTTTGGGAGTCTGCGGGAAAACGACTGTCTGTGCCCTTCACGCCTGAGAATTTGGCTGAGACAGGGTGCAACAGTTCTGTGATTTCGGTCCTTCGGTTGCATGCCATGTGCGCATTTTTTTTTCCAAATGTGTGTGTGTGTGTGTGGGTGTGGGGGTGTAAGGTGTAAGGGCGCATGTTTTCGAATGTTGCGCCAAATGGAAGAACGCAGTGGCAAACTGAGGTTTGGCCCCTGCGTTTAGCTGGCGCAGCAAGGATGATGCAGGATCCTCACATCCTCCAGTATTCAACTGGGAGTGCTGCTTTGGTCATGGATACAATTTTGCTGAAATGCAAAGGCCCCTCTTCTCAAGCAGTGGATTTTTTGGGGCGTGTTTTGGCAAGGATTTTTTTTGTGAGACTTCCAATTGTTGGGCACTAGGGTTTGACTGAGTCATTCTTTCAATTGTGAGGTAAGTGGTCCAATGCATCGATGACTCTGGGTGGACCTCGGGTTGCTTGACCGCAAGTATAATGGTTGTTGACGAAGGGGTCAAGCGGCTACGGCAGCGTCAGGTTTTGTCAGACGAAGCTTGTGTGCGGAGCATCCTGGCAGCCCATGTGGCATGGCGCGAGGGCCCCCAGCGGCTGTCAATGGTGGGCAGAGTGCAGCCAATCGTCGGTGTGACAAACGAAGAACTGTGGGACATTTGTATGCATTCAAGTTATCATTATTCAAGTTGTCATTCATGCGTTTACCTCCTTTCAAGCGCCACACATTTCACATGATACGCTTGCATGCTGACTTACTTGGGCAAGTCCGAGGATGCATTGTCGCCCAGTTGGCGGCAATTAGCATTGCAGCCAGTGGCATCCGCCCAGCCAGCCATTGCAGCATTTGGTGCTTGGTGGCCTGTATTGCGATTGCTTTGGGCGGTTGCTTGGCTATGGCCTGGTGGGATTTGGCGGTCTCTCAGCTTTTCGCCCTGACTTTGCCTAAGGGCAAACAAAGAGTTTTTGTCACCTGTGCATGTCAGGATGCTGGTGCTGTTCTGGGGTGCGGCCGCAGCAACGTCGGGAAAAAAACATCAGGTTCCGAAGCAAAAACTTCAGCATTCCAATCCTTGCAAACTTTGGAGGGCTTGATGTGTAAAACAAATGCATGTACAATGTAAACATTTATAAATGGTTTCGATATGTTTCAATACACTTTGGGACATCTTGAATTTTGCCCCCTGCATCAATGCCATCAGGCTTGGAAGCGGAACTTTGCCTTTGGGCTATTCTGGGGCGCCTGGCAGATGAACTGCGGCCATGGGAGGATTTTGTAGGTGAGGATTCGGATTCAGGTTCAGATGCCATCACCATTGCAGCTGCTGTTGTCCAATAGACACAATGGATGAATGACACGATTTGACACATGTGTTTGCAAATCTGTGTGGAACCAGGTTCTGACTCTCCAGTACTGCTTAGTGCCACCTTCCTGTTGGGATGGTTTGCCATGAAGCATCTTGGCAGGAATCTTGATGCCCTGTTGAAATTCTGAACTGCTGGACGTGAACATCTGCACATATCTGCACAACAGCATTGGGACCGGGATCATCTCAGGCAAGTAATCTACTGCTCGGATTGGGAGGATGAAAATACTGGTGAAATTCACTGCGATTGCGGACTTCCCATTGGCTCAGCCAGACCTCGGACTGTACATGTTTCCACGGATTGACTGGAGTAATGAGTTCCCTGCTCCAAGCAAAACATGGGCGAACGAGTAGTTTCCAAACACAGGCCTTCCTGGATTAGATCAAGAACCCTGATGTTTGTTCTAAAGGTTCCGCCCTTCAGGAGTCTTGACAGGAGCGTTTCGTTTATTTTACAAGGTGTTTTAAAGGGTTTTTGAGCTCTCTTTACGGTCTTGTCTTGAAAGTTCTTTTTTAAGTGCTTTGTCGTTTGGAGGTTTGAGCGTTCCTTGAACCCAAACAACGCCGTGGTCCAAGGACCATGCCCTTGTTGAAACCAAGTGCGCTGCCAGCGGCTGAATCCCTGTTGGAACTCCTCTCTGAGATCGTCATTGCAGGCTGAAACGGCTGAAACCATTGGAACCATCATGCTTTCATCACACTTTATCGCAAGAGATACATTGGAATCATTGGCGTTGTTTGATTTGGGCCAGATATCTGTAGTTTTGCGTAGGTCATTGGTCTTTCCAAAGCGGATTTGCTGAAATACTCCGCAGATGCCGCTAATTTGCTAGTAGATTTTGTATGGCGACCCCTTAGTTTTTCCTGGAGTTCGAGGGTCTCGTTCTTTATATACAAACGGTCACATTCCGGCACATGACCACGCTTTCCCACTTGCCCAGACAATGAAAACAAACAAGACTCAGAATGCCTCAAACCGAACCACCCTAAAAAATCCAAAGCCTAAGCCCTGGAACCCTAAAATCCCAAGACCTAAATTCAAACTTCATATTTTTTAAATGTTGCGTGGCAATTGCCTCTTCTCAACATTGGCTGATTTTTTGATTGAAACTAATTATGTTGTTGCTGACCACGGGTGTGTGTTTTTTTCTCCCACTTCAGTTCAGCTCAGCATCAAAGTGAAGCAACCAGGCGAGGCGGCCAATGTGCAGCACCTTGCTTGCAATTGATTTCTTTTTAGAGGGCGGTTGGTTGCCATCAAAAAGTGTCACGGCCAGCCACCTTGGCTCAGGAAACTCTACACCAGCACAATGTCCAACGAGGAATGTGATTACAGAGAACATGACGTCCTTGCATGAATTTTACACCATGTATGTATATATATACAATAGATTGTGTGTGTCCTAAATATTGTAACAGTCAGTAAAAGGGTTCCTTACTAAACACCACCCCAAAAAGGAGCACCATAAAATCAAGTTTTTTTCTTCAAGCATTGGTGGGGATGTGGACATGTTCAATTTTTTTGCTTAAGTTTTATTTGAGAGTGGGACCATGGTTCAAATTTTGGGAAACAAAGCCCATCCATTCTGCTCAATGTAGACATGTGGTGGTTTGCACACATCAGATTAAGAAGACATGGGAATCACTTCTCAAAACCATCTGGGCTTGGGAATCACAACCATGAAAGTATCAAACATTAATCATCATTAATCATACCAAACTTCGCATCAAACTTCATCTACTAGTTTGCCAGGTTTGCTGCTGTGCTGGAGCTAGAATTATATGGCTGTTTTTTTCCACCAAATCGTGCTCCAATGCCTGTTTTTCTTTGCGGTTTGTTGTGCACCAAATCGTGCTCCGATGAGTGCTTTTTTTGGCGGTTTGTCGTGCACCAAATCGTGCTCCAATGCGTGCTTTTTTTTGCGGTTTGTCGTGCACCAAATCGTGCTCCGATGCGTTTTTTTTTGGCGGTTTGTCGTGCACCAAATCGTGCTCCAATGCGTTTTTTTTTTTTTGCGGTTTGTAGTGCGCCAAATCGTGCTCCAATGCGTGCTTTTTTTCTGCGGTTTGTCGTGAACCAAACCGTGTTCTACTTTGTAGTTCCTGTCCTGGCGTGTCTTTTGGGAAATTGTTGCTGGTAGTTTCTCTGCAACGTTTGCAGTCTTCAATCTTTCATCAAGGTATTGACCACTGGTAGTGGTAGTGGTACTGCCGAAACTTGAGAATTGCCACTTGTATTTTGAATTGATTTCTTCGTGCACCAAATGGTGCTAAAAAAGTGCTTTTCCTAATATAAGTTTTTAAAAAAGAAGCACCAAAGATACCACCATTTAGAGCACAATATTTTCCTTTCAGAATTAAGCTGCTTAAAAAACATGTGAAGTCAATCGAAACCGGATGTGCAGTAAATTGTTTCCTCTGTCGTGCGCCAAATCGTGCTCCAATTCGTGTTTTTTTTTTTGCGGTTTGTCGTGCACCAAATCGTGCTCCAATGCGTGCTTTTTTTTTGCGGTTTGTTGTGCACCAAATCGTGTTCCGATGAGTGCTTTTTTTGGAAGTTTGTCGTGCACCAAATCGTGCTCCGATTCGTGTTTTTTTTGGCAGTTTGTCGTGCACCAAATCGTGCTCCAATACGTGTTTTTTTTTGGCGGTTTGTCGCACCAAATCGTGCTCCAATGCGTGTTTTTTTTGCGGTTTGTCGTGCGCCAAATCGTGCTCCAATGCCTGTTTTTTTTTTTTTGGCGGTTTGTCATGCACCAAATCGTGCTCCAATGTGTTTTTTTTGGCGGTTTGCCGTGCACCAAATCGTGCCCCAATGCGTGTTTTTTTTTTTTTTTGCGCTTTGTCATGCGCCAAATCGTGCTCCATTTCGTGTTTTTTCCTCGGTTTGTCGTGCACCAAATCGTGCTGCATGGTCTCAATTATGTTGAAAATCCGTGCTCTTGTTTTTTTTTGTCCGTTCTCTGAAAATGAAAAAAGTGCGGTAAAACAGAAAACTGGCGGTTTTGTATTGTTTTCCTCTTCAGAGCTTGGGCCAAGATCTGGCCGGAGCCAGGCCAGCCTCCAAAACCTAGAAGAATATTGAATACTGAATACTTAAATATATTGAATATTGAGTACTGTATATAATTCTAGATCCAACCACAAAGCATATCATATTGGCACATAAGAAATTTATATACTTGATTTTGGCTACTTTTATCGTGCTCCAAATGGTGCCCCATTTCGTGCCACTGTTACAATATTTAACACAAACAATAGAATATACCATATATATATATTTAATAATATAATATAAATGATATTAAATTATTATTTTCAAAATATAGTAAAAATTATTATAGCATAAATTAACACAATACAATACAATACAATATAATATAATATAATATAATATAGTATAAGATAATATAACATAATATAGTATAATATAATATGTTATAATTTAATATAAAACAAATAATATAATAAAGTCAAGTAAAATATAATACAATACAACACAACACAAAACAAAACAATATAATATGTATAATAACATATAATATGATAAAATATGCTGTAATAAAATATAACAATATGTTATGTTATGTTATGTTATATTATATAATATTATATTATTAAATGTTATACTATATTATATTATATCATTATATTTTATTTTATTATGTTGTATTAGATTTTATTGTATTATATTGTATGATGTTGTCTTATATTATATTGGTTTTATTATCGAAGGAAGTTTAGAAGTCAAACTTCCGACAATATGGAGAGATGAAAAGCAGAGATGGGAAGAGCAAGAGAGACGAGAAGAATAGAAGAGAGAAGAGCAGAAGAGAGAAGATCAGAGAAGAGAAAGAGTCAGAAGAAAGAAGATGCAGGTGCGCGAAAAGGTAGGAAAGTCGCGAAACACTGTGTTTTTCCGCAGGGTCGAAAAGTAGGCTCGCTAAAGAGGCGGGTGCGGAGCCATCTGGCCAGATGAGAGATGAAAAATTGCACGCCGCTGTGGCGCGAAGCACATTTCGAAGTCAAAATGTACAAAACACCTCAGCTTCGGAGCACTTTTAAGGGTTGCGATGTGGGAAAAGTGCACGCCGTTGTGGCGCGAAGCACATTTCGAAGTCAAAATGTAGAAAACACCTCAGCTTCGGAGCACTTTTAAGGGTTGCGATGTGGGAAAAGTGCACGCCATTGTGGCGCGAAGCACTTTTCGAAGTCAAAATGTACAAAGCACACCAGCTCCGGACCACTTTTGGAAGTTGAGATGTCGAAAAAGTCACGCTGTTGTGGCGCGAAGCACATTTCCAAGTCAACATGTACAAAACATGCTCGGACCACTTTTGGAAGTTGCGATGTCGAAAAAGTGCACGCCGTTGTGGCGCGAAGCACATTTCGAAGTCAAAATGTTCAAAGCACCACATGTTCGCGCCACTTTTGGAGGTTCAGATGTGCTTTCGCTTGGCAGGCGCAAGGGATTGTGGACCTTGTCAAAAGTGAGCAAAACGTGAGGGTTTTGTAGCATTTCCAAAAACGATGGCAGGCGTGGGACATTTGAAGAGGATCTGCAAAGATGCATTATTTTCCGTGGCAGGCGCAGTACAAGAGACATCTTCATCAGAGCTGTTAGGAGGTCTGGGCGGTGATTTCCTGAGAGGGGTTGCATGTTGGAGCATCAGATCTTGAGGTTTGCTGAGATGATTTTGCGTGACAGGTGCAGCACTTCGTATGACCTGGCATCACTTTTTCGTGGTAGGCGCAGTAGTTTAGACAGATGGACTGGAAAAATCGCAAAACGCATTGGTACGAGGCCGTCAGCTCTGCACTCAACTTTCCATTTTTGAAGGAAGTCTTGAAGAATTCTTTCGTTTTTGGTGTTGACATGTGTTGACAACTTCGAAAAATGAGGAAGTCTTGCAGAATTGCTTCGTTTTTGATGTGGTCAACTTCAAAAAATGAGGAGGTCTCGCAGAATTGCTTCGTTTTTGATGTTGTCAACTTCAAAAAATGAGGTAGTCTCGCAGAATTGCTTCGTTTTTGACGTTGTCAATTTCAAACATTGAGGAAGCCTCGCAGAATTGCTGCGTTTTTGATGTTGTCAAGTTGTCAAGTTCAAAACCTGAGGACGTCTCGCAGAATAGCTTCATTTTCAAGCTTGCAGATAGACAGGTAGATAGATAGACAGACAGACAGAGAGAGAGAGAGATAGATAGATAGATAGATAGATAGACAGGTAGATAGGTAGATAGGTAGATAAGTAGATAGATAGATACATAGTTAGATAGACAGATGAGATAGATAGATAGCTAGATAGATAAATAGACAGATAGATAGCTAGTTCAAAACTTGAGGACGTCTCGCAGAATAGCTTCGTTGGCAAGCTTGCAGATAGACAGATGGATAGACAGATAGACAGACAGACAGACAGAGAGATAGATAGATAGGTAGATAGGTAGATAGGTAGATAGATAGATACATAGTTAGATAGAAAGAAAGAAAGAAAGACAGAAAGAAAGAAAGAAAGAGAGAAAGAGAGAAAGAAAGAGAGAAAGAAAGAAAAGAAAGAAAGAAAGAAAGAAAGAAAGCAAGAAAGAAAGAAAGAAAGAAAGATAGATAGCTAGATAGATAGATAGACAGATAGCTAGCTAGCTAGCTAGATAGATAGATAGATGGATAGATAGACAGCTAGATAGATAGATAGATAGATAGAAAGATAGACAGACAGACAAACAGACAGCTAGATAGATAGGTAGATAGATAGGTACATAGATAGATCGGCAGGTAGGTAGGTAGATAGTCACAGAAAGAGAGAGAGAAAGAGAGAGAGAGAGAGAGAAAACCTCAACCACCTGTCGGTTCATCAGTGGCTTCGCTCCGCCATCCGTGATTCACAACAACCAACCTCTCCTGTAGGTTTCCTATTTTTGAAACTTCCGCGACCGCCTTGTGCGGTACTACTGGTATTGTATTATATTATATTTTATTGTATTATACTATATTATATAAAGTTAAATTATAATATCTTAAATTATATATGATTTGATATGATATTATATTTTTATTATACTATATTATTATTATTTTTTAAATATATTATAATGTGTTATGATATATTATATTATATCATATTATGTTATATGATATGATATTATATCATATGATATTATATTATATTTTTATTATATTATAGTATACTGCATTATATATATTTTTATATTATATTATATTATATTATATTGTATTATGTTATTTTATATTATATCATATTATATGATATGATATTATATTATATCAAATTTTATTATATGATATGATATGATATTATATTCTATTATATTATATGATATGATATTATATTATATGATATCATATTATATTGTATTATATTAAAGTATATTATATTATATATATTTTTTTAAATTACATATGGTATATAGTAGACATTGCATGTCCACACTACGCAAACATTCGCCCACACACATGACATACAAATGCAGATAACAAACAACATTTCCACCAGGGCCCCCCCTCTGCAGGACTGGCGGGTTCTCTTCAGCTGTGTCTTGCAAACTAGCCAACCACGTCGCGGCTTGTCTTTCAAATAATTAGCTGTAAATGGGCAAATTGTATGGAATGTCATGGCCAATGAACAGTTTCAGATGGCTTGAGAGAGAGTGTTTTCAGCCCAGGCTACCTATTGCTGGACCGACTGGATTTGAATTTGCCAAACCGTGCCCGAAAGCGCTTGGCTCCTTGGCGGCATATCGCTCTGGCCACTCAAATTTTGAAATGCCGCAGGAATTGAAAGATCCAAACAGCTGAGGTGAAAGCGAACTCAGCTCAACCGTTAGAGGAACTACTTCAGCCTGAGAGCGATACACATGGCAAGTAACAAATCGAAGTGTTGCGGTTGTTTGCTCCAGTACGACCAAATCCTATCCCGGCTTTGCAGGGTGATTGGGACATAGTGGGATTTATCCAGCTCGGATGGGATTGGCTATTTTGTAGAGCTCATCCGGTCCGACTGATGTCCTGGTCTCCATCATGGCCCTGGTTGACAGAGCTTCTGCGTCCAGACGTTCCAGGTCGCAATTTCGTTGGCTCTGGAGGATCCCTGAGTAGGATTGATCTGGGTCAGTATCGTCAGTGAGCCACTTCAACGGCGGGCGCGGAGAAAGATACCCCGCTGCGGCCTTTTGTGGTCCACAGAATAGTTAGCTCGGTTAGTTCGGAGTGGTCCAAACTTTCTCGGATTCCAACTGAGAGAAATGCCCGGGGTCAGGTCTCACACTCACATTGTGGTCTCACGATGTCATCATGTGGCTCTGGGACCGTGTGACATCGTGGCGCCGCCGCAGAAACATCGTCACACGAGGAAAACAACCTGCGCCACGGATGATGATGTCTGGCCTGGGTTTTATATTGGAAAAACATGGAAGAACATTGAGAAATGGGCAGGCATCATGTTCACTGCGACTTCAATTGAAGTCACTATATCAGAGCCATGCTCTGATGATGGACCATTTCATGGCTGAAACTGATGCCATTTGTCTGCATGATTTTTTTTCCGGGAAAACATTCCACTCGTTTCACTGCTCACCGACTTATGCGAGCGAGAGAACAAATGTGGATGCGCTCTTCGGCCAGTTTTTCCAAGGTCTTTCCTGCTGGAGTGCGACAACATAGTGAACATATGCAAATACAGGAAATTCGCGGCAATGCTGTTTGATTTTGCAAGCAAACATTGTGACCTGAACCAGCTGAAATTAGTTTGTTTCTTCTCCGTGCATGTTTTTGCTCAGCTTTGTGTCGACGGCATCAATCATGTCGGCCGTGAAACTAGAGAAGAAGGCAAAGCTGCGCTGCGGGTAGTTCGAGAGGATAGGGAAAGAGTCGAAAGGGGCAGTAGGCAATGGATTGGAATGGTAGGGATATGTAGGGATGTACTTTGGCTTTCGAGGTTGCAGCGCTCGAGAAGCGTCTGCAAGATGAGATGCATGCAGCTTTGGAGCCTTTGGCGCTTCGACTGGACAAGCTCGAGGAACATTTGAGGACTGAAGTTGTCAGTTGTTGTGTGTTTCGTGCAGAATCGATACGCCAAGCTCGGACGAACTGCGATACCAAACTGTTTGCCTCCTTTTTTCTTCGTTTTCTGAGCATTTTCTGAGCTTCACTGAGTGAGCTTCGGTTTCCTTTCCCTAGCAAAGACGTGTGATTTTCACTTGAAAGGCATGTTGCTCGCCCACTTGACTGGGTGGAGTCAGTGGAGTCTATTCCACAAGATCCACAAGCCAAGTTCGAGGGGGAGTCCGGGATGGCCATCTTGCCGCAGCCAACTGGAGAAGAAAAAGAGACAAAGGAGGTGAAGGAGACAAGGAAAGAGAAGGACAAGTCGGACAAGTCGGACAAGGATGTCATGATGTATTTTACGAAGCTTCAAGTGGACAACTGGACCAAGGATGAACCGCCGAAGCGAGCAAAGGACGGAGCTCCGGAGATTGGCCAGGCGCATCTCCAAGTCCAAATGTGCTTACAGTGTACAGCGCATCACGTAGCCGGCCATATTACACCATTTCGATATATTTCGATCTGACATGTTTGTCAGGTTGATGGAGATGAAGAACCCATCCCGTTTGCTGAGACAGCTTCTTGGCAAAGCATTTGAAATGTAATGAATCCATGTATCACACTCATGAGCAAGATGCCAGGAACATGCCACGAACATGCGAGGAATCTGACTCATAACAGCAAATTTCCGCTAGCATTCGTCCCATTTCGTCACATTTCGTCACATTTCGTCCCACTAAGATCTGGAACGTAGTCCTGGTCCTTGGTCATAGTGGGGCGGGATGGGCCGATGTGATGGTGGCTTTCGCCTTGACTGTGTTGGGCACCTCGGCCTGAGCCTGTGTCCCGGCCAAGGCCACAGGCTCTCAATGTAAAGCGGAAAGCAAACACAAAACAAACATGTTTCTTATGGTTTCTTATTGTTTCTTGTGAGTCAGCATGAGCGTTTGGATGCACACTCAAACGGATCAATGTTTGGAATATTTATTCATGTTTAAAGATAGCCAGCCAACACATACTGAGCTTATTCGCGGATTTGTCGATGGCGGGGCCAGACGGCGTCTCATACGAGTACAACTCAAAATTCAAGACCACATTCTATGGGACTGACTACTAACAGAGCACATCGCTGATCTTGTTTCCATTTCGGGATGTTTGCATATTTTGGACGATGTTTCAGACTTCTCGACCCAAATATCCATGACCAGGCACACTGATGCAAATCATCTTCGTTTCGGTGCTTCTGCAAGACAGCTTTCTTGGGGATCAAGTCGAAAAAAAGGTGCGATGTGAGAGATCTTGCTTTTGGTGTGTTTTTGTTCTGTCGCATGTAAGCAACACCCAACATGCTGCCACATGCTGGCATTATGCTGCAACCCGCTGCAACCTTTCACCAACCTTTCACCAGGTGGAGGCAGCACGGCAATGGAGAGCAGGATCTGCCCACGATGTGAAGCACCATGACTGCAGGCTGCAGGATTCTGCATTCCATCGGCTGGAAGTTTCAAGGGCTTTTGTTAGTTCGACGGTCTCCTCTACTAATGTATACAGTAGATTAATGTAGATTAGAGATTGATTATAGTAGATCTATGATGACCTATGGCATTTATCGGGATGGTAGGGAGCTGTATCGGACTATCCCGACAAAAATATGCGGAGCGGACAATTGGGCAGGTCTTGTCCGCAGATGAGCCAGAAGACTAATATGATGCCATGTGACATGCAATACCGTTTGCATCTATTTGCTTCTTGCCGTTTTTGCTTTTGCATCGGTTTTCTATCCAAGCCCTATTCCGTGTCATTGCCTTTGAACCGTGCCATCCGAGGCACATGGATTTGGCATTGACAAGTCTTGTTTCCCGCGTGTGTCACTTGACAATATGCTCAGAAGGCATTTTTGTGAGCACTTTGTGGTCCAATTGTCCAAGTCTGCTTAGTTTTCGCACCCAGCAACCTTTGGCACTTCTTGTATTTTAGCAATTTGTTGAGCTTTCCGTGGTTTGTAAATCTGGGATGGCAAAGGACGGTGATGGGGGGTCATTTTTCCCCTGCATTGGAACCGGCCAGGCAGTGGCGATGGTTCCTTAATTTTGTCCACTGGACAAGCTGACTTGATAGCAGAAATAAATTCATTCTTGGGTATTCAAGATGGAGGACTTGTACCGGCAATGGTTCCTCCTGGCACTACCCTTTGCATGCTTTGCATTGGACTTTGGTGTGTGGTCTTGGGTGGAGAGTTTCGTGCGATTGCAACCTCCCTTGTGGCAGCTGCACACATCCCTCGCTCCAAGAGAACGATAATGGACAAGGGCAGACGCTCGCAGTGAAAGGTTCTTTTTAAGAGACAGTGGGGAGATGTGGGGAGCTTACTTTATCTTAGTTTTAAAATCTTTTAGATACTCCAGAGGATGGGGATTGCAAGGTTTGATACGCAAGCGAAGGCTTTGTTTCGATCTCTTACCTGCGCTTTGGGAGCTACCTGCTGTTTCGGCTTGCACGAACTGCCGTTGCAGCCTGTTTGCTGATTGCTGGTACGCAGTGGCTGGCGAGAACATCGAGCATTTCAGATTTGATACTGAATGCAGTTGCACTCGAAGCAATCCTGCAGATAGACGAGCTTATTTTTGTTGCGCTATATCCGAAGAAGGTTCAAACTGCTATATACGAACTTGAACCAGTCCAGATTCGATACACCCGCAGGTCGGGACAATTGGAGTCCTGCTTGATGCTATTCCTCCTTGCTACAGCTGTGTCGGTGCCCTTCTTTCTATGGGTCAAACCGATTACAGACATGATGCTGACTGTGAAAGTAGAGTACTGCGGGGGAGATCAAGACTTTGTAGTGAGTTTGAACCAGGACCTGTGGCTGTCGGATTGGTCAGTATACACTATACTCAGTATACCTTGTCGATGTTCAGCTCACATTGATTTCAAGCCAAACAGATGCAGCTAAACTCGAACGACATGAAGGTACACCCCATTTGGAAACTCAATGCGTTCACTTGCTTTGTTGCGTTTAGTTTTCTGGAAGTCGGTGCGTGCTGCGTCCAGGTGGTGTTTTAGAAGACATGTTTTGGAACATTGATATTTTTACCTGCGTCCTTGTAGGTTCGGAATCTCCCTAATGTGTCAGTTCAATTGAGAAGGGCGAGCACTCGCTTGTGCACCTAAGATTTGCCTCGCTTGTGCACTTGCGATTCTCCTCGCTTGTGCACTTATGATTTTGTTGTCGATGCCATTCGGATTCAAGCCTCCTGTGCCATGGGGCACAGTAACGTGTTAGTTTTAGACATGACAAGAGGTACATGTATGTTTAAACTGCATCTTCAGGTCAACTCAGACGCGGTTGACACTGAACACTTGGAGCAAGAGAGCTTTGTACATTTGGGAATGCATGAGGTAAGCTAGGCAAGGGCAACTGGAGCATTCAGGCCAGCTGTCAAAGAATGAGATTTGGGAAGCTGTTTTTATAGAAGGCCAACTAATCAAGCATTTCTGGTCCTTTCAGGGAGGGTTTTAATTAAATATGTTTTTTTTAAATATGAATATATAATATATAAATGAACCACTGGGAGGGAGCGACACGCTCTTTCTGCGGAAGTTTCCAAGCATACCCCCAGTGGTCATATTATCTAGATATATGATGTATGGTGTGATGATTGGATTGCTTTCATTTTAATTTAGAATTATTCAAGTGAAACGTGTTCATGCTGCCTTTTGCTTCTGCCAATGATGATGCCGCTGACTATTTTTTTTTGCTATAGATGATGACGAACCCTTCCCACATATATTATAACATATAAAAATTACTCTCTCTTTCTTTTGAAAATTCTTACCCCCTCCACATTTGCTGAGCATAAAATCTATGAGACAAATCTGACACTAAAATCTATGAGACCAACACTCTCACTTAATTCAAAGGGGGATTCCAAAACTTTGGGGAGGATGTCAAACATTGGAGATTTCTAGAAGACGTGGACAGTGATACCCTGCAAGTATTTATAGTGTCTTGTGACCAGCGTATGTACTTGATCAAGGAAGGTACGCCTCGGTGGTAACGTTAAGTTGCCCCTCACCCGCCCCCCCCTTCTCTTGTTCCCGGGCCGCCCTCCGACTTGGCTTCTGACTGTAATCTTTGTTTGGGGACATTATTTTCGCACTATGTATATACATAGCTCAGTGTCACATGTATGTTTCACCCCATGCTTATGTCCTTGTTCCCAATCCGACACGTCCTCCTCTCCCCTCCCCCCTCTCCCTGTTCCCCCTGTTCCCGATGCGACCCCTCCGCTCCCCCCCTCCCGCCTTGTCCCCCCCGTTCCCCCCTGCCCCCCTTCTTCCCTATGCGACCCCCCCCTCCCCCCTAAAAAAGCAACCCCCCTTCCCCCCTGTTCCCCCCTCCCCCTGTGATTTATTTTGTTTTACGTGTCTACACAATGCTTTCATGCATGTTGACATGTACACTTAATTCATATCTTTCATGCGCACTCCGCATGGCTCAAGACTAGCAGCAAACCGCAGCATAGAAAAAGGAGTGTAGTCGCTTTTGCTTACCACAGGTGTTGTACATTAGTGTCCAGAGCTCCCTCAAAGGGAAGCTACCTCACCCCCCTTGTTCCCTATGCGACCCCCCTCCCCCCCTTGTTCAGGTAAGTGCGCAAGTGAGTGAAATTTTGTGGTGAAGCGCGCAAGTGAGGGTAAGTGCGCAAGTGAGTGAAATCCAAAGTGCGTAAGTGAGGGCTTTGCCCACAATTGGATTGTGTTGGTTTTCCCCTTTTGAAATTGAAATGATGAGGGGGATTGGTGGCGAGGGGTCCTTTTTTTCATTTTAGGATATCGTCGGGGTATCACGAGAGTATCGCCGGAAATACGTGAGTTGTCTTGCCTTGTCTTGTCGCTGCTGCTGGTCCTGCTGGTCCTGCTGCTGCTGTTGCTGCTGCTTACCTCCCCCCTACCGAGCTGCGCGCCAAAAAGGGCACACGCAGCGGTCGTCACTGGCCGGGCAATCGGGGTGGCAACAGCCCTTCGTGCATGAGAGCAGGGCGATGCGCTAATGCGCCTGCTCGGCACGTGCCAGTCGCGGCTGGGCCTGCACCTTGGTTGTGAGCCTAGGCCTCGGGCCGTGCCTGGCAGGGGAGGCTTGTCTGTTTGTTTGGACTGCATCCGTCCTTGCACCTGTATCTTTGGTTGGTCGCTTGGCTTTGACTATAGTTGTGGTGAAACTTGCGCCCCATCGTTTTTTTCAACATTAAAATCATTCAAAATAACCTAAAACACCCTAAAACAACGACTGCATAAATGCAGTGTCCGCAATATGAATCCTAATTTTAGAGCCATGAAGAGCGCCGAACATTAAACAAACTACATTATTGCTGGCACACAGCGTTCCATGCTGATTTTTTGCATAATTTTGCACTGGCTTCTGTGACTTCCTGAGCGCGCAGCGTCCCATTGTGATTTGTCTTCAAACAGACGGTGCGCTGACTTTCCGGACTGGGTGTAATAGATGAACGATCTTAAATGGAATAGTCTGGATGCAAACACCCTAGCAACCCTATCAGGACATGCAGATGTACATGGGCTGGGAAACCGTGCCCTATGAGAATGTTTCAAGCCAACTCCTTGGGCAGCTTGCCGTCTCTGAGCATTCCCAGAGAAGACTTTTCAATGGGCCTCTCGCGTTTTGCATGAACGACGTCTCATTTTTTTGCCCCCCCACCATTTGTTTGATGTTTTCATGCTGGGTTTGTTGCTGATCAGTTAGGACCGCAGCGTTTTCGTTGCCTTTAGAACGAGTTAGGACCGTGCCGCAGTACATCTCATTTGCTTTGAGCCTGGACACTTTTGAGTCGAACCGCGTCAAGTCAATGCAAGCAGCTGCTTCTTCATTTCCATTCTGCTTAGACTATGATAACCTTACAGGTGTTCTTCTTGACAACTATGGCGCCTTTTTCCGAGCGATAGCTGTGCAACTTGGAAGAAGCAATGCAACATCGTGCGCTGAGTTGGCCGAATTTTGCAATGACTTGGGTGCACGCTTGCTACGGATGGTTTGTGGTCGGACCTGTCGGTGTGCTGATCCATTGGCCTTGCCATGGTTCAAAGTGCCCAACCAAGGGTGTCCCGCAGTGTGCAGGGCGGAAGCATTGGTAGCTGCCGCAGCACTACCATGCACAAGTGCCAACACCACAGAGAATTTCCAAAAATTTTGGAGCATGTACCCGATGGTCATGTCATCATTCATTGGGCAAGATTTGATGTCAAGCCCTGAGGGCCCGAAAATTGCAAAATTGATGGAAATCATGAGCGTCCTGGGATGCCAGGGCCTTCCCGTTATCGGCTCAAACAATATGGTCACTGGAGACAGCTGGTGCGGAGGGAGTGAAACATTTTATTCACCGCTTGCCTTGATTTGTCCCCAGGAGTGTGGTTGCACAGGAGGGGATTCTATGCCGGCTTACTGTTCTGACAGCTGCCAAGCGTGTGGCGACATAACAGTCTTCCCCGTGAACCCCGTAGCATCGAATTGTGCTGAAGCCAAAGCAAGCGGCGTCTGCGACGTACCTTCTGAGGCAGCAGCCCTTTGCCCGGAGACCTGCGGTCTATGCAATGGGACAGCGAATGTGAGCGCTGTTTGTCTAGATGGACACATTCCACCCGAGCTGCTGTCCATGGACTGCTTGCAGGTCCAGGCAAGGAACGGAGACCTGATAGGTACCGTGAGACTTCGTTACTGTGATATATAAAGTCCTTGCCACCTGTCACTACTTACTACAGTGTATGACCCGTGATGTAATCAGTGATAGCCATAGCTGATAGCAGTTTCTTCATTTGTCAGAAACCGTAGCCCATGCAGCACGGCAACAGCCTTTGGAAGCAACAGCTCTGCTGGCATTCCTTTGAGGCCTTAGGCTGGTGCCCTCCACTCGTTCTGCTGGGATCGCCCATCAGTAGCTTGGTATAGCTTGCTTTGAAGTCTGATAATGTCACGAAAGCTAGCGGTAGCTAGCTGAGTAACTTTTGCTTCAGCAAGGGGAGGGGCAGGTCTGAGTCCAACACAGTGATTTTTCACTTGAACCCCCCCCCTAGGCTCCCGGGGCATTTTGAAGCAGTCTCGGAAGCAGATGGTTACGGGCTCGAATCCTGCCAGGGCCGTCCATTTGTTGTTTTTTTCCCTGTCCATTTGATGTCCGCCAACACAATCCGCAGCCGATAGATAATTGCATATATACATAGTTGTGTATATATATATATATACACGCATAGTCATGTATATACATACGCATTAAATAAATAAATAAATAAATATATATATATATATATACACACATGTACATATATATATATATATACATCACATCCCCCATGTATAGCTCACTATAAAGTGGACATCCTTTGCGCTTATAAAGTGGGTTTCCGGTCGCCACTTTATATACCGACAATGGGGGATAAAGCCGTGTTTTGCGCGAGAAACATGCCCTTGGACCTGGAAGATGACTTTATAGCAACGTTGGCTTTCCAGTTTATACCCGGCTGGTTCCCCACAAGGAAACGACTCAATATATGCGGCAATGCATTTTATAGACCGTTGGTTCCCTTCAAAGAATGGCCATAATATGTCACACCATCCACTTTATAGAAACATGCCTCCCCAATGATTTCGGGCCAATATCTTTCTGTTGGGGCTGTATACATGGCAAAGCACTTTATAGAGTGAAACTTGCCCTTTAAGAAGAAGAATTTGTGCTGCATCCAGGGCACTTTATAGAAAGAAAATTGCGGCAGAGCATTTTATAGAGTCATGAGATACATCACCCAAATCACTTTATAGAGCTGCCCAGGACCCCATTCACCCTGAGGACCCCTTTCAAGGGAAATCTTCTTCTCTATAAAGTGGCCAGTCCAGGTAAAACCACCTGAAAAAACAGAATCGATGTTGGACTGGCCACTTCCCAAACAGAGAATGCCTCTATAAAGTGGCCAGTCCAGGTAAAACCCCTGAAAAAACACATTTTTACCTGGAATGGCCACTTTATACCCCCTCCCCCAACAGAGAATGCCTCTATAAAGTGGCCAGTCCAGGTAAAACCCCTGAAAAAACAGAATTTTTACCTGGAATGGCCACTTTATACCCCCTCCCCCAACAGAGAATGCCTCTATAAAGTGGCCAGTCCAGGTAAAACCCCTGAAAAAACAGAATCTATGTTGGACTGGCCACTTTATACCCCCTCCCCCAACAGAGAATGCCTCTATAAAGTGGCCAGTCCAGGTAAAACCCCTGAAAAAACAGATTTTTACCTGGAATGGCCACTTTATACCCCCTCCCCCAACAGAGAATGCCTCTATAAAGTGGCCAGTCCAAGTAAAACCCCTGAAAAAACAGAATCTATGTTGGACTGGCCACTTTATACCCCCTCCCCCAACAGAGAATGCCTCTATAAAGTGGCCAGTCCAGGTAAAACCCCTGAAAAAACACATTTTTACCTGGAATGGCCACTTTATACCCCAGCCAGTGGGCTCCAGGACTTTGACCCGGAAACGGAAGGACTGACAACAAGGTAAAGGGGGAAAACTACAACGGAGAGGTACAACGGGAAGGCTACCACAAGAAAATGAGACATGTCACGTTTATATACGTTTATTGTTTTCAATGTGTCATATAGATTGGCGATGATTGGTATATTGAATATGTTGTAGATGTATTTTGGAACATATGTATACCTATGATTCACACATCAATATAAATATATATAAATCATAAACACATGCCAAACCAAAAACTTTTAGCTGAGTATTGTATTCCCAATCTGTTGGCAAATGTCCAGCCGATTCACCATGCGTGACCCAACAAGATTCAAACCATGGATTGTTTACTTTTGAAAAAAAATACTGGGTGAATCTACGTATACCTATGACGACAATCTCCCAAAATCATCCTAAAAATCTATGGACATCTATGGACCAAAACCACGGCCACATGCCCATCCTCTATAAAATGGTTTGCAAGAAAGTTCAGCTCTATAAAGTGGCTTGATCACGTCATTTCTGGCAGCCCCACCCTCTGTATAAACTGGCCGGTCCATGCCCATCCTCTATAAAATTGTTTGCAAGAATCAGTAAAAAAATATTTTCGAAAGTAAACAATCCATAGTTTGAATCTTGTTGGGTCACGCATGGTGAATCGGCTGGACATTTGCCAACAGATTGGGAATACAATACTCAGCTAAAAGTTTTTGGTTTGGCATGTGTTTATGATTTATTTGTATTTATATTGATGTGTGAATCATAGGTATACATATGTTCCAAAATACATCTACAACATATTCAATATACCAATCATCGCCAATCTATATGACACATTGAAAACAATAAACGTATATAAACGTGACATGTCTCATTTTCTTGTGGTAGCCTTCCCGTTGTACCTCTCCGTTGTAGTTTCCCCCTTTACCTTGTTGTCAGTCCTTCCGTTTCCGGGTCAAAGTCCTGGAGCCCACTGGCTGGGGTATAAAGTGGCCATTCCAGGTAAAAATGTGTTTTTTCAGGGGTTTTACCTGGACTGGCCACTTTATAGAGGCATTCTCTGTTGGGGGAGGGGGTATAAAGTGGCCAGTCCAACATAGATTCTGTTTTTTCAGGGGTTTTACCTGGACTGGCCACTTTATAGAGGCATTCTCTGTTGGGGGAGGGGGTATAAAGTGGCCAGTCCAACATAGATTCTGTTTTTTCAGGGTTTTACCTGGACTGGCCACTTTATAGAGGCATTCTCTGTTGGGGGAGGGGGTATAAAGTGGCCAGTCCAACATAGATTCTGTTTTTTCAGGGGTTTTACTTGGACTGGCCACTTTATAGAGGCATTCTCTGTTGGGGGAAGGGGGTATAAAGTGGCCATTCCAGGTAAAAATGTGTTTTTTCAGGGGTTTTACCTAGGCATTCTCTGTTGGGGGAGGAGGTATAAAGTGGCCAGTCCAACATAGATTCTGTTTTTTCAGGGGGTTTTACCTGGACTGGCCACTTTATAGAGAAGAAGATTTCCCTTGAAAGGGGTCCTCAGGGTGAATGGGGTCCTGGGCGCGGTTTCAAAATTGGAGCCATTTTGGCGCGCGCGCGCGCGGCGCGACCAGGACCGCTTTCACCCCAAGGACCTCTTTCAAAGGAAAGTGTGTTAGAGGCATTCTCTGTTGGGGGAGGGGGTATAAAGTGGCCAGTCCAACATAGATTTTGTTTTACCATAGATTCTGTTAACGACTTCGATATAGATATTTGTCTGGCTGTCGGTTTCGTTCGGTTTCGAAGTCATTCGAAGTCTTTTGGGTTCCCCATCGATGAGATCGATGATATTCCCCCCAAGGTTTGAACGTGGCCCCTCAACTTTATAGACAATCATGTCGATGCTGCCATCGTCGCGATTAAGAAAATCATCGCTACTACAACGATCGTTGTTTAGCCGGAAATCCACATTATAGTGCCACTGTTCTGCACAAGTATTACTATCTGGATGTTCGGCATCTCACTTTATAGTCATGGGACATGTTCACAAGTACCCTCAAAAACCTGCATCGAGTTTTATGTTTTTACGCGGCCAGGCGACTTTATACAAACGTTGGATTTTGACTTTATAGACAAAACATGTTGGCTTTCCACTTTATAGACTCCAGACATGTGGCCATTCCAGTTTATACCAGGCTATTCTCTATAAAGTCGGCCGCAAAGCATCTAGCGGGCTATACATGGGGGATTACATCACTATGTAGCCCAATGCAAGCAAGCCGCTTGTTGAGATGTGATGCAGGGCGCAAACAGTATCCATCGCCGACACATTCCGCAGCTGCTCAGCCATAAAAAGAAAGTTGTCAACAAACATATCTGTACAGTCATCCTCTCTCATTAGATTTGGTTGAATATATATATATATATAGATATAGGTGCATATATATATATATATACACATCACTACGCATAGTCATGTATATACATACACATTAAATAAACGAATAAAAAAAAAAATATATATACATAACTATGTAGCCCAATGCAAGCAAGCCGCTTGTTGAGATGTGATGCAGGGCACAAACAGCATCCATCGCCGACACATTCCGCAGCTGCTCAGCCATAAAAAGAAAGTTGTCAACAAACATATCTGTACAGTCATCCTCTCTCATTAGATTTGGTTGAGTATATATATATATATAGATATATAGGTGCATATATATATATATACAATACATTATTGTATATATAGGCCTATGTATACATAGTTGTGTGTATATATATATATGTATATATGCATAGTCATGTATATACATACACATTATATATATAGATGCACATATGTAAATAAATAAATAAATAAATGAATAAATATATATATATATATACATAACTATGTAGCCCAATGCAGGCAAGCCGCTTGTTGAGATGTGATGCAGGGCGCAAACAGTATCCATCGAGTTCTTTCTGCTTCAGGTCAGCCAATTTAAGTCCCATGACAAACTATAATTTTGGCTGGGGCCCAAGCTTTCTAAAGACACCATCTTCTTTCATTTCGATGTTTTACGACCTCCACAGAAGCCTACATGTTGTCCGGATACAAAGATGCCTCACCAAAACAGTCTCCTCGATATCCTTCTTTTTGATTCGGGTCAAAGCTGTGTCGATTTGAGCCCCATGGAAATTATAATTTTCGATTATTTTCGATGGGGCCCAAACTTTATAGAGTCACCATCTTCTTTGGTTCACATGTTCCAAACTTTCTGGAGGCACTATCTTCTTTAGTTCTGCTGTTTTCCGACTTGCAAGGCCGCCTACATGTTGTTCGCATGCGCAAGATGCCTCACCAGAATATAAGCTCCATAGCGTTCTTTCTCCCTCAAATCAGCACTGTGTCGATTTGAGCCCCATGGAAAATTATACTTTTCGATGGGGCCCAAACTTTCTAATCGAGTCACCATCTTCTTTGGTCCACATGTTCCAAACTTTCTAGAGGCACCATCTTGTTTGGTTCTGATGTTTCCGACTTGCAGCAACCGCCTACGTGTTGTTTGCATGCGCCAGATGCCTCACCAGAATTTAAGCTCCATAGCGTTCTCTCTAACTCAGGTCAACACTGTGTCGATTTGAGCCCCATGGAAAATTATACTTTTCGACGGGGCCCAAACTTTTTAATCGAGTCACCATCTTCTTTGGCCCACATGCTCCAAACTTTCTAGAGACATCATCTTCTTTGCTCTTGTAACAACCGCCTACCTGTTCTTCGCATGCATAAGACGCCTCACCAGAATTTAGGCTCCATAGCAATCTTTCTACCTCAAATCAACACTGTGTCGATTTGAGCCCCATAGAAAATTATAATTTTTGATGGGGCCAAAAAAATACAATAGAATCACCATGTTCTTTGGTCCCCCTGTTGCAAACTTTCTGGATGCACCATCTTCTTGGTTCTGCTGTTTTCCGACTTGCAACGGCCGGCTACATGTTGTTCGCATGCGCACGATGCCTCACCAGAATTTAGACTCCATAAAGTTCTTTCTACCTCCGGTCAACACTGTCTCGATTTGAAATTTTCAATGGGGCTCAAACTTTATAATATAGTCACCATCTTCTTTGATCCACATGTTCCAAACTTTCTAGCGGCACCATCTTCTTTGGTTCTAATGTTTTCCGGCTTTCAACGGGCGCCTACTTGTTTTTCGCATGCGCAAGATGCCTCACCAGAATTTAAGTTCCATAGCGTTCTTTCTAACTCAGGTCAACACTGTGTCGATTTGAACCGCATGGAAAATTTTAATTTTCGATGGGGCCCAAACTTTATCATAAAGTCACCATCTTCTTTGTTCCACATGTTGCAAACTTTCTTGCGAAACCGTCTTCTAACTTCTTTCCACTACCCATGCTTCACATGTTATAGGACTGCAACTTGAAACTTACACTTCTTCTGCGACACCCTCTTGCATCCTTCCATGTGGATCACTCTCGTCTACCCTTCCCTGCATGTTTCCGGGTTCACCTCACCTAGTTCCACATTCATTTGCCATTTAGCTTTCGTTCACCCCCCCTGGGCCTCAAGTTTGATATACCATTGGGCCATGTCACCGTTCTCGCAGAGCAGGATTTTGAGAGTCAAGAGTTTGCTTGGTGGGGAAAGGAAACCCGTGAGTAAAATGTTACTAGGAACGCAGAAGGCGCTAGAAAGATCCAGCAGCTAAGGCAGAGTCTGTTCCAAATCATGTGGCTTGTGCACCTGACGTGGCGCAGTTGCAGCCTTATCCGTGGAAGTGCAGATAGTGCAGGTGGTTTCGCACATGGTGTCACTGCGAGGAGTCCAACCGGGCTCTTTGTACATTGGCTGATTTGGCTGTGCAGCTGTTGTTTTCCCGGCCAATTGTGCAAAGCACAAAATGGGAAGAGAGATGTGCCAGATGTGCTCGTGAAGTGGAAAAGCTTGACGAACTCAGAGCATGTGCTGAGTTCAGCAGGATTGGTGTTTCAGTTTGAACAACTTTTCCTTCACTTGGTGTTAATTATGGGTTTACAGTTGTGTTGTGTCACTTATGTCATAATGTTTTCTGCGGGCATCTAGGTCATTTGTGTTCAATCACAATGCTATACCGGCTATACCCTCTTGGCTCAAGTACGCTTTAGCACAGGCCTCTCCTTACGATCTATTCAGGCAGCTCACCCCTTCAGCTGCTCCATGATTTGCATGGCCTTGCTGGCTACACTAATAGCCGCCACCGCGGCTTCACAAGAAACTTCAGAGCTCCAGGCTCCTTCCGACGTTTTGTGGTGAAACTGCATGCAGCTGTTAGACATGCAGACTCTGCAGACATGAAGATTTATATATTACATTACATTTTGAATTTCACCTGAGCAAGTTCTGAATGTTTGAATAGTTGAAAGATTTTGACACATGAAATAAAATCACCAGGCTGGGCTGGATGCAGCATGGCAAGATGCGAAACTGTTGTTGTCCTTCGCAGTGGGCATCATCTTCATGAGATCACTGGAGATGCTGACTATTGGTGCTGGGGCCCTAGCGGAGACATAGCCCGAGGTGCACAAAGGTGCTAAAGTTCTGAAAAGACATCTATATACTGTAAAGGAAATAGGCATAAGATAGGCATTAGCATTAGGCAATCATAGGGCTGGAATCTATTTTCAGAAATCCAGCATGTGGAACTGAGGAGGAGCGGCAAAGGCACCCCAAGACCATCGAGCTCTATCCATTTCTCACATAGGTCAGAGATACAAATGGAATCTCTGGATACTTCCACATTGCCATACGGCAAAGGTAGAAAAGACTTTCATTTTTTTTGAATGCAACCATGACACGACCTTCAGGAAGGAGCTGCTTGCCAAGTTGACAGGTTTGCTTGTTTGGATGTGTGGCCGCAGACTTGCGTAGCATTGACTGGCGACAGCCACTAGCATCAAACCAGTGTCAGTTCAAGAAAGCAGCACGGGTAACTTATTTGCGGATGCAGATGTCCACCAAGCAACTGCAGGAGACAAACTCATTTCATTTAAAGCCGAGTCATCGAGGGACACAGCCATAGGAAGAGCAGAACAACTGCCAAACCGATGTCACCTGATGTCACAAGTTGGCTGAATGTTTTGGAGTACCCGAATGCCAGAATAGTTGCGGGGTTTCAGTCCCTGGGAGCCGGAGTGACGCAGGGAACCATTTGACATAATTTGACAACTTGACTAATTAGCCCCTAGCCTGATGGCTGGAGAAGCAGGGGTCATGAGTGAGGACCAGTGGCAACAGCAGGAAAGTACCCGTAAATAGCATTATATGATTGTATATATTATTATATAATTACTGTATAATATGCATGATATAGCTCTAAGACTGCTCTATCCTCCGGTTCCAAGTGAAAGATGGGATATCGGGTATGCTCTTTGAAAGAAGGGAACAGCTTGAAGAGACGAGAAGATGCAAGAGATGGCCAGTCATTGCAGAAGTATCAGAGCAAAAGTGTGGTGAGTATAGTTACTATAGTTTTTGAAATGCTTGCCAGGAAGTGTCTTCGCGCCGGCGGCCTCCCATAGGGTCAGCTGAATTTCTCGCTGCTTTCTCTTGGTGCTTGTTTCCTTGTTGTTTACTCTTTGTTTGTTGCTTGCTTTTGATTCACAGACTCAATCCTGCTTGGCATTGTCCAGTCTTTGGAGTCTTCGCCTCTGAATTCATCTGACTTTGCATTTGGAGGTCCACAGCCAGGAAGGTGCCAAGCCCTCCCAGTCCCCATATTCCCAGTGTCATAGCTGCCATGCCTAGAGGGCCTAGAACTCCTGCGACACCGGCGAAGAGAAAGCCCAAGGCTGAGGACGTCACGCCAGTCAAAGGCAAGAAACCTCAAAGCACTCAATGTCAACGCCCCGGTGTCTCCGAAGGATGTGAGAAGAAATCCAAAGTGGACCTTGTGAAGGTCACTCCGGTCAACACGAAGAAGAGAACAATGGAAGCAATGGAAGCTCCGGTGACACAGGCAACACCACAGAAAGTGGCTCGTCAAGTTTCTGAAGTTCAAGGTGGCGAGCCCCCAAAGACTCGCAAGACTGGCAAAGGGAAAGAGGAGAAATTTTCCGAGCACCAAGGCCACCAAGGGAAGCCAGAGAAGCGAGAGCAGAGCCCTGAGGGAAGTGAGAGCTGGAAGGACTGGGAGGGATTGATGTTGAAGCTCTTTGATCGCATCGAGACTGCCTTGCAGCAGAACGCCTCGAGATATCGGATCACTTCCGTGGAGACACTTCGGCAAAGTGTTGAGGCCTCCATGAACCGTGATCTCACTCTGGAACGGCTGCGGCAGGTTCTTTCATTGAGCGATGGGATGTTGGAGGCTTTGTGGAAGGGTGAAGGTTGCCCGTACTTGTCCGTAGAACAACGGGACAAGGAGGGAAGGCCAACACGCCCTGAAGCAAGTGAACTATCTGAACGTCGAGCCACATTTTACAAAGCTTTGTCCGGAGCGTGTGCCAGAAAAGAAGTGCCAGCAAAACCTCTTCCACCTCGACCAGCTGGGCATGAATCAGAACAGATTGAAGAACCCGTTGTTGTGGATGTTGAAGCTGGGCGAGCGGCTGCAGCAAAACTTGCAGAGCTCGCCAAGCTCCCAAGCCTCAGAACCACTGGGACTCCAAGGCAGCGAATGGAAGCTTTGAAAGCTCGAATCGCTGCCAAAAAAGCCATTGTGGAAAAAGAGGAGCAGGAAGAAGCAGAATTTCAACGCCTCTTGGATTCCATCAGTGTCTGCGAGGATGTTCTTGCGGCAAGAGAGGTTCTGATCCATATGTTTGCTCGTCCTGGTGAGGGAAAGATTGTGAATGTGTCAGAGAAGAAGATTCTGGGAGCGCTCTGTTCTTGTACCTTTGCAGATCAATGCACTCGAATGGTCAGCCTGGATGCCGGCAAGGTTGCGCTGGCAAAGCTGAAAGAACTTGGAGAGGGGATTTGGTTCTCAGTGATTCCAGCCCAGTACTCGCAGGACACCTTCTGGCGCCGTATCCCTGGAGGAAATGACACCAGAGTGCGCGCAGCTTTGAATGGTGAGATGCAGGCCCTGCAGGAGAAGAAACTGAAATTGGTATCCGGCAGTGTCAAGGCAGTCAAGGCTGCAAAGGTCAAGAGGGACATATGATGTCCGTGATGTCCAGATCATGGGAAGCTTTGTGAACAAAGCTCGTGGTATGACGCAGGCTTAGTTTTTTGTCTGTGATTATATGTGATTTAATCTTGGTTGTGGGAGGAAAGAGTAGGGGGATGCTGCTCTTCTGGTTTCACTCCTGATGTTCTACATCAGTTGGGGAGATTTGCGGCGGATTTGGAAAGAGCCTTGGGGTATCGAGCTGCTACTGCTAGTTGCAGTGTTGATCCAAGTTGTAAGCTGCCTGGAGGCTGTACTTTGAGATATTTGCTTGAGATCAAACCTGCAGGCGCTTACACCTTCTCCTCATCATGATTGGGCTGGTAGTCCTGGGTGGTCAGAGTCCCAGGGAGCCGAAAGCCGCCTGCTGAACTGTTTAACTCTTCCAGAAGGATGACGTTCAATTTTCCGAGCATCTCCCGGGCCTCTTGATGCAACGACCGGCTCCAGAAACTTCTCAAAAGCCCATGTTTTGTCCAGGATCCTTCATAAAATTTCATACACGAGGCTTCGTTCAGTTCGTTCCCGAACAAAACACGTTTTTTTTTTCCCCAGCTTTGGCTCAAAAAGCTGCAGCCATGCCGGGCGTCCAACCGGTTACAATCGAGAGCCGGGCTGGAATCCAATCCCGGGGTCTCGGTTACGAGCCATCATGGAGCAGCAGCTTGGCCCCATGGTGCAACAAGGGAGCAGGGTGATAAACAGATCTTGGGTCATTTCATTTCATTTCATGTGATTTCACAAGAATTGAACATGGTATTATAGAATTCTTGACCTTGTTGACTTACAGTTTTGATGACTCAGAAGTAAGGAATCCTTAATCGGAACCCAACGTGCAGTCTCGTTGGTAAATTGATTTCAGCCCATACCGATTTCACAACTGGAAACAACCCCCCCAAACGGAAGCAAGCGAAGCCATGGCATTTTGATCCATGTCGGATGTGATGAAAAAATGCCAGGTATTCCTTTCGAGGGTTATGACGGTATGACGCAGCTGCAGTTCCAAGAGTCGAACGCGCCGTTCCTGAGACACGGTGGTCAGGACGGCGAGTTGTGTTTGCACGACATCATGGTACCACATGGTACCACCCTTTTCTTATTTTCTGCATAAATGAATTCCCGCAAGCTCCTTAGTGAAAGAAGCTTTAGTAATTGTGTTAGGAAGCTTTCAGTGCTACCACAGTATGATTAGGCCCTAGTCCCCCACTGTTTGTCATTCACAGAGTCCTTGGAGTCAATCTTTCTCATCAGCCCATCCCCCTTTTTCTCTTCACACTTCACTCTTCATCCGCAGGTTCCAGTGCACATCCCTCCGGGCTGGCGCCGTGTGGAAGCCAAAGTGCCAGGCAGAGGGGCTGCAAAGCGATTGTGAAGAGATGGACACTCTTGCCTCTTGCTACCTAGCTTCCTCCGGAAGAAAGAGAAATGATGAGGGGAAAGAATAAGAAAAACAGGAAGAGATTTAAGAAAAGATATGAAAAGATGATAAAAGATGATGATACGAGTCAGAGAGTGATAGAGAGTGTATCCTGCTTTTGCCCTGCTTAGCTCGGTTGACTTTGAAGACTGGCCAAGGATACGCCTGGCACAGGCCCAAGGGCATCCAAGGCCATAACACTTTCATGCTGTCAGGTAAGCACATCTACGTGCACCGTGAGACGGGGACAATCCAGCGTATGCCAGCAGATATCTATCATTCCAAGGCAGGGAGGAGGATGGTGAAACATGGTGAGATAGACAGAGATATGGCTATAGATATGGAATATATATATATATATATATGTACACACACATATCTATCTATCTATATATATATATTTACACATACAAGTTACATACATACACTACAAATCACATACATACATACACACACATATATATATAATATGTATTACATGATATATGGCGTGTTAAGATATGATATGGTTAGATTTCATCAGATTTGAGGATACATTTCTGCCAGGACCAGGAGTGGATCTCTACCGACGGCAAGCGAATGACCGAGGACCACTGGCTTGAAATGCTGTGGACAGCGCGCAGTACCAGTGAAAATCATGACTATAAGTTGCAGGCGGAAGTTTCTATGTTCAGATGCCAGCACGAGAGACAGTGGCGTCAAGGGTCTTGGAATTTCTGTGCATTTCCTTTATCACTTGGGATCCGAGGACGTCCTCAACGATGGGATGCCAGATCTGCTTGCACTGGAGCTAGCATATGGAGGAGGTGGCAAAGCGAAGAAGGCCTGGACACACCTCAAGCGGATGAGAGAATAGAAGTATATACAGTATATATATATATATACAGTATATATATACACACAGTATATATATATATATACATAGAAGTACATATATAGAAGTAACCTCCATGGCTTTGACCTTGCCGTCAGGCAATTGTGAAGCCAAAGGTGGTGCCTGCTGCCTTGCCACCAGAACCAGAGAAAGTAGTGAAGCCTGAGGCTGGGGAATTTTCTTCAAGCAGGATATTTGAATATGTTTGAATATTTGATGGGTGGTGAGATATTCTTTTGTGTTAGCAACTGGTAGCATTTCCATGCATTTCCTGCAACCAGGCAGATGGCCAAGTGGACCCTGCACAGGCTATGGGCTCGCTACCAGTTGCTCGTAGGCATTTCGGCATTGCACACAAATTTTGCAGATGTATGTATTATATATGGCATATATGGTCTCCCTGTATGTCCTTGTGATGGTTCGACCAAGCCACTTATCTTCTTATGGCCCTCCCAGGTGGCGCTGCTTTTTCCTGGGCAGGGCTCGCAATATGTTAAGATGATGGGAACCGTGAAGGACATGCCAGCAGTGAAGGAGATCTGGGACTGTCAACTGCAACTGCCGATTATCCAAGTTCGAAATGCATTTGTGCAAAATCATGTCAAGGTGGCATTTCTCGTTTCAATTCAGAGACATTGGGAGTTTCATTCCTTATGTACTACCCGCCAGTTTCTTTTCTTATTACTAGAGGCAGGTTCACTCAGACAGTTGAGTAAAATGGGATAACTTCATGACATCGTCAGGAGATGTTAGACAAGGCTGCCAACATGCTGGACTTCAACCTGCTGGAGCTGTGTCTTAAAGGGCCTGAATCTGAATTGGAGAGGCTTGACAGCATTTGGGGTCTGTGGCCAGGGCTTTTAACAAAAAATCCCTTCTGTGATGATCAGGTGGTGATCAAAGATTTATCCATGAATTTGTATTTACTTGGCGTATCGTGTTCTCTGGCCCTTTCTTCGCCTTGCCTTTCAGTATCTTTCAGTGCAACTGTGGCAAGTGTAGATCCATGTAGATCCAACAACGGTAATGACTGAGGCGCACTAAAGCCTGCCAGCCGGCGATGTTTGTTGCGGGCCTCGCTGCAATGGAGAAGCTGCGTGCCGAAAAGCCCGAGAAGGCAGCAGAGTTTGGGCCACAGGTTCTGGACCTTCAAAAACAATATCATATACAGGATATGCTGTACAATTTATGCATGATGCTTCACTGAATATGTATAATTACGTATGCATATTACACATTTGAAAATTATTTTTTGGGCATATCCCTAGGGATCCCAAAGTTTCCGTATGGCCAAAAGCAGGTCGAACGCTGCCAAGCTGTCGCTGGCCTGTCCCTGGGAGAGTATACGGCACTGGCCGTGGCCGGAGTCTTTGACTTTGAAACGGGATTGAAGGTCGTGAAGTTGAGGGGCGAGGCCATGCAGGCGAGGAATGGATCTCGGGATGCAACAACTGGGGCATCGTTACCTTGTTTCACGAACCTCATGATATTTCATGCTGCTGTTCGGGACTGCAGCTGCTTTGGGATGGAAAGCGCCCACACTTTGCTATAGTGCGATAATCCGGAACTTGGCCATCCTGAATCCTGCCTGTCTCAGAGGTCTTGTTCCCTTGAAGCCAACTGCGTCAAGTTACTTTAAGAACAGTGGACCCTGAGCAGTTTTCTTCCCTTGGCAGGAGGCAGCAGAAGCTTCTCAGCAAGCGATGTTATCGGTTGCCGGCCTCGACAAGGACCAGCCTGAGCAACACATTTCTTGCATTTTCTTGCACTGATTGGGATGTGTAGTGCTCCTGACTATTGATAGTCATGATGCGGTGCTTGTAGTTGCCTCGAAAATGCCCGTCTTATCCTTGTACTTTGCTCGAGCCTGCTAAAGACACAGACTCTGAGCTTGTTGGAGACAATTTCAGTTGTCATCTGAAGGTCCTCGGCATGACCCTAATATTATGTATATCATTGTATATCTATATATACACATGTGCATTTATCATGTAAGAACCCCATACACACATACACATATACATATATACATATGTACATATATGTATACATATACACATATATACATATATGTATATATAGATGTATATATGTATATATACACATGTACATGTAGATGTATATATGCCCGTGTATGTGTATATGAGCACGATATCCATGGGTTGTGGGTTCAGAAGCATAGGCAATTGAGGCTTTCTCAGTGAATTATTCAGAAGCTGTGCAACTGAGGGTTGATCCAGAACTTGGAACCTATTTTTTGTTTTTTAAAGGTGTTGAACCATTTATCAAACCGCTTGACAAGGACACGCTGAGCAAGCTCTGTGAAGAGAGCTGCGAGGGACCGCAAGATGTTTGTCAGGCAAGCAGCTTCAAGAACTTAATGACCCATCCGGGGCTTTGGAATGCAGGGCGATGCAAGCACCTTCTCAGACCTGTGTTGCAGATTCTCTCATTCTCTTCTACTTGGAGGTGTCATCTCCTACTGGAGTACTACAGTACTACTGCATAGACGCCGCTACTTTTTATCTGTCCAGGTCGCAAACTTCCTTTTCCCAAACGGCTTCTCCTGCGCTCCTTGGTTGGCATTTACTATAGGGATCCATATATGGATCCATAGGGGGGTTTGCTGGGAGGGTTTGGTGCAACTGTTTTCGTTCCAAGGCTGGCACATTGGCGGCAATACAGCGCCTGGAGCCAAAGGCGAAAGAAACTGCTCCTTGATGAACACTGGGACATCCGTCATCCGCACTGGGAGAATGTGCGTCCAAAGTTTCTATCAGTTGACACCAAACATGAAAGGCAAATTCTGTCAATGGCTATTCAGATGTCCATAAAAGTCCGTGTTCTGGGAGAGTGTTGGCAAGGATGTTTCCCAGTGCAGGCCCTACATCATAGCCTTGCATTTAGGTACCTTGTATATCTCCAATTAAGAATTCGGGTACCTAACACCTCCGGTCATTCATTGCGGGCTGGTCGCGATGGGTCTCTTGCGATAGTTTGCTGTTAGACCATCTCCAGAACAGCTGCTGCTTGCATGATTGCAATTGTATTCTGGCCATGGTAGCGGTTCAGAAGCACAGTTAAGAGACATGTCTATGGCCTTCTGATCGTGTTTGGTCAATGCGAATACAACATGAAACTGAATGATATGTAGACAACTTATTTGGACACCTGTGCAGCTGGAAAGCCACAAACAAGAACCCTGGCACTTTGACTAATTATAGTGTGTTGCGCGAGGACATCTTAAGATTACATATCACGCTGCTTCTACTCCCAATCCCTGTAGAGGAGCTTGCAGCAGCTCAGATGCCTACACATCATGAATCATCATGAGCCCTGCTGAGGAAGGCTGTTTGCAAGCAAAGATGCTGAAGACTTCTGGTGGGTTTCACACGAGGTTGATGCAGCCTGCGCGGGAGACATGGCTGAATTCCGGATCAGATCTAGCAGCATTGTGCACATGCCAAGTATGTCAAGTATGCCAAGCTGTAGTTGTGGCAACCTGAGAAAAAGCTAAGGGAAGGCCGAAATGAACCACTTGGCTGTACAAGGCTGCCTGTCACAAGAGTCTTGCTAAGGAGAAGCTGCTAGAAGCGCTGCAGGAGGCATTGCCAAAGATGAAGCCGCCAAGATGCCACACCGCTGCAAGCTGAAACTGCCTTGATCCCTGGAAAGTCTTTGGACACTTTAGATGTATTGAATATTATTGAATAGTCTGAGAACCTGCATGATGCACGGGCCATATACATGTGTGACCTGGAATGGGGGGAGGACATTTATTGCCAAAGTGAGTGAGTGGATCATCAGGGTGGCTTTGTGTGGCCGAGGTGATGTGTACATGAATCTGACCGGCAAGAAAATTGCAGCTGGAACTGCGCCTTCAGAAATTGTGCCGCTTCTTGCGGACCAGCTTGTGAACTGCGTTCTTTGGGAGCCTGCTGTCTTGGGCATGATTAAGGCGCTACAGCAATGGGTTCATGTTGGGTCACTCTGAGCCCGATGTGGCTGCATTGGTGCAAAACAGAGTTGTCAATTTTCTTCCACCTGGAGTCGTGAATTTCCAAGCCCAGCCTCAGCTTCGTAACTTGCACGATCCGCTAATACTTTGACTCGTGGCCTTGTTGCAGGATGGCGTATCCGAATTCTACGAGTGCGGGCCCATGAAGCAGCTCAAGTCAATGCGTGCGCCTCAAGAGCAAACATCCTTCGGATGTGTGATGGCTTTGCTGTCCCAGTGGCGATGGTGGCCAACTTTCTTTGCATGTCCTGTGACCACAGTTATGCATTTTTCTGAGGGTCATGTTGATCTAAGGATGAAAAGGATCGACCCTGGAGCGTTTGGAAGCACTACCAACGTCGATGTTTGACAATGTGAGAGAAATTGATGGTTTGAAAAATAGGTTGCCAAATGTTGCCAATAGATTGCAGGTAAGGGACAAATCGCATACCATTTGAACCTCCTCATGAAGCCATGGACTTCAGATTGAGCAACTTAAACAGCTTCGAAAGAGTCCCACAGGTGGACAGTTTCACAGCTTGTCTGGCAAGGGCTGGTGGCACAAGACCCCTAAAAGGTTCAGAACATGCGCAAGCTCAAATAGTAAGAAGTTGTCAGAAGTTGCCAGCAAAACTCGTTGCTGAAAGATAGTGGTGTCGAAGATCACAGCTGGCTTTGTGCTGCCAACCTTTGCGCTTAAAGTCAGACTCTTCCAGCACACATTACCTGCTGAAAAAAAGTGTGACATTGGCATTTCTAGGGCAATTCTGGCGGCAATGCTTTCAGTCAACCCCTCGCGGAGCCTTTGCAAGGAATGAACTTCGCCTTGTTGAAAGTGACCTACACGGCCCGGAACTTGGAAAATGCTTTCAAGCTCTCCAACCCATTTCCTGTTACATTGTCTACTTTGTCCACCAAAAATAAGCGCGAGAGAGAGAGAGAGAGAGACAGAGAAAAAAACAAAATTCTGCTGTGATCGCGTCGAGCTTCATGAGTTCATCAGGCTTATGGCGATCGCAGATCCTTCTTTGTGAACCAGGCCGTGAGAACCACGCAACTGCAGACAACTTGAGCAGTTTAAGTTTAATCGATAAGATCGCATTCAATCAAGCACAGTGCAAAGTGTCAGAGTTTAGAGTCTAACCGAGTCTAACCATGGAAGTGGTGTTTCTTCACACAGGCCTTTTGGTTTGGACTGCTTTCATGGTGTGCAGCTGCATGCGCAAGGCCATCAATTTGTTGTATGTCGTTTATGGCGGCGCGATCTTGTATCCTAGGACTGCTTGCGGCTGCGTGCAGGTACAGTTCCATGCCGTGATGTGTTTGGATTCTGACCAAAAACACAAGGAAAAATGCTGCCGTAAGCATGTTCAAGCTGCGAGGATGGTTTTCACCAACGTCGTAACAAAAGAGATGACAAGCTTCCCGAAAAGGCCGTTCTTCATAATGGGTGCGCCTCCCTTTGGCTTCCTCTTTTGTCTGTGTGCTTCCTCTAAGCCTTTTGGAGACCAGGTACGCTTGATAGCCTTGGCACATTTCTCACTTGCAGGGCTGCTCAGCATGAGGGTCATGTGGGTCATGCGCTCCACTTCCGTGAGCACTAGCGAGGTTTAGGAACTGCTTACACTCCGGGCTCTATCACACCTTTGACGCCTCGGCGTGCTTTCGTCATTGAGTGGAATCTCTCTTCAGTACATTCATTCAGATCTCAAAGACATCTTGGCACAGTAAGATGCACCCTCATGACAGGCTCAACCAGCTTCTCATACCATTCACCATGCTTGTGTGTGATTCTCAGATATTCTTATCTTCCAAGATTCCAAACATGTAAACGACATAAAGATGTGTAAAGATTGGCATCTGCCCAAGAGCGGTTTAACCGGTTTAGAATTGAAGGTCTGCAGTATGGCTGAGAGTACGGAGCCGTTGGCAGGAACGATGTGGCTTTGCTCTCAGACCCGTGGCTGCAAAGCATGGCAGATGTCAAACGGCTGGAAGTTTGAGGTGCTTTCTTCATCGTCCTGGGAGCTTCTATTAGCGTTTGACACTCAGAGTTGCTTTGCGTAGGACCTTGAATTGGGGCCGGGTAGGCCATGAGGTCATGCTCAAAGGTTTTTCTTGGAGAGAGCTCAAAACCTGTGCCAGCAAGGTCATTCCAAAGATTGTTGACGTCCCAGACGATTCAAGCGCGTTTGGTACTTGGGATGACTCTTTGGGTGACTGTGTGATTCAGGGTGGCAAAGTTGAAGCTCCTTAGATCTAGCCGCAACAGGCTGCAAAACATAGCCGTCCAAAGCTGATGGTACGTTGAAAGCTCAGATTGTGTTGAGCGAAATATAGCTGAGAAGTGACATGCGGCATCGCAAAGTGAATTTTGTTGATTCCAATTTCCTAAGCACAGAGGAGGATCTTAGGCTGATGCAGAAAATGACGTGGAGCTAACGACAACATAGCGCAACCCTGAAGCAAACAAGCAAAGGACCTTAGTCATGTGATGTCATGTCCATTACTTTGTATTTGCCCATATTTGCCCTGTGAAAACTGGAGGCGATTTTGTTCTATGCGCTTAGCAACTTTCCCATGGCAGCGTTGGGGCCCAGCACATTGCTGCATACTTTCGCACATCACACAGGCGGTGACCAAATGTGACGAAGGTCCAGCTGCTACAAGGAATTGACTTTCGAAAACCAGCACTCGGATGTTTGGACTCACCCTCAGCTGTCAGCTGTCAGCATGAATCAGCAGCCAAAACCAAATGCCGAATCTGTACGAATGCGTGTGAATATGTATTAAATTTATTAATGCAATGCGTAATATGATCTGATGTGCGTTTGCTTTAGCAAACAGCTTTTACAGTATATGCTGGCATACCTATACATAGATATTATACGTATTATATTATGTAGTTTATTTCTCTATGTTTATCTATGCGATAGCTTTCTTCAATGCATGTCATCACAATAGATAGCGTGTCGTATAGAGTGCTGCATTGAGTCTGGCCATGTTGGTGGCGCAAAGAAAGGTACTTGACACAATGGGTGTCGATTTGGCAGTTTTTGGCATCTTGGCGGCTTTAGCATGGCATCATCTGTCATCATGTACCATCGTAGACCAGTTCAGTCCTGGAGAAGCCTCACGATCGCGCGCTCAGATCTCTTTCATCTACATGCCTCTCTTGGTGTTGCCGGGTTTCAGCAGCAAACAGGGAATGTCGTTCGCAGAAGCCGGCGGCTTTGAACATAGCTGAACATTTTTGAGCATATTTGAACATTTTGAATATGCTGTGTTGCAGAACTTTAGTGATTCGAAGGGGTCTCAGCTGCCTGCTTCTCATCATTGCACTTGTACTTTGGATTGGTCCTGAAGCCTTTTGGGTCAGGTTGTGGACTCTTTTGTTGATGGCTGGACTTGCTACAGTCAGCAGGACTTGGAACTTGATCGATGACGTGTTGAAACGAAGGGCAGCAACACGGTTTCTATGGGTCGTGGCGGTTCAGGATCCAGACTGTGCCAGAGGTGGTGCGTTCCTGCTACTAACAGGTCTTTTGCTCAGTCACTCTGCTGTTTAAGTCACTGCCTGCATTATGCAATTATATTCACCCCGCTTCGCGTGGGGTGGCCGCCCACACCGCAGGTTTATTTCGGTCCGTGAGAGGGGCTAAGGGTGGTTTTCCCCCGTGGGGGCTCCCCAAGCTAAGAATTTTCACTTTCCCCCCCCGTGGGGGCTCCCCAAGCTAGGGAATTTTCACTTTTCCCCCCCAGCTTTTCCCCCCCGTGGGGGCTCCCCAAGCTAGGGAATTTTCACTTTTCCCCCCCGTGGGGGCTCCCCAAGCTAGGGAATTTTCACTTTTCCCCCCTGTGGGGGCTCCCCAAGCTAGGGAATTTTCACTTTTCCCCCCCGTGGGGGCTCCCCAAGCTAGGGAATTTTCACTTTTCCCCCCCGTGGGGGCCCCCAAGCTAGGGTGGGGGCTCCCCAAGCTAGGGAATTTTCACTTTTCCCCCCCGTGGGGGCTTCCCAAGCTAGGGAATTTTCACTTTTCCCCGCCGTGACAGCTTCCCAAGCTATGGAATTTTCACTTTTCCCTCCCTTGGAGGCTCTCCAAGCTGCGGAATTTCAAATAGCTAGACAACGACGCCTAGATAGTCCCCCAAATCCCGTGTTCTTTGAATGTGTTTCCATGTTTTTGCAATGGTTTCCTTCAAAGCACGGTACTTTACACTTTTGTCGCCATAAAACCGGTCGAAAACATCATGTTCGACAATGCTTCCAATTCCCTTATCTCCCCAACCGTTGAAAATACCGCTATTTACAGTGTTTTCTTCAATTTTTCCATGTGCCAATGCCGGTAGCCAACTCCAACATATATATAAGAAATCCTTCCAAAACATTGTTTTTGACAGTGTTTTTCCAATGTTTCCAGTCAAACAGACGGTAATTTACACGTTTTTTGCTATAACGTCAGTCCAAAACACTTGTTTTTGCAGTGTTTTCAATGCTCTGGCATCCAAAAACCCTGCAAAATCTTGCTATGTACAATGTTTTTTTCATTTTTGGCCGTTTTTCCATTGCCGGAAAGCTACCAAAATGACCCAAAATTCCATTTCAATACCCTCTTGCGCTCAGACACCCAAAAATCCTCGAAAAATGTCGAAAACACCACCGTATTCTGGTCTCGGTGCGAAACCGTTTTTGGCCCCCCCCCAGCTAAAGCTGATATAGCGACTGCTATATTAACAAATGTCATTGAGCATTTAGTGTTGCTGTTGCCCCCCAATAAGCACGCCTTCACCGCCAAAGCGGTGTGGGCGGACTTATGTATAGAGGTCCACGAATGCAATCTGCACGCGTGGATATGTAGACAATCCCACCAGCTTTCTCTGATTAGGACGTGTCCACAGACATGAGAATGAGCATTGGGCTTCTGCTGGGAACCGTAGACTTCGCATTGCATCCGCAGAATTTTCTAAAGTGCAAGAGGGAGCATCAACAACAAGGTCACGTAGCTACGTCTTGCTGCTTCCACCAACCAGGCCAATGGTCACAAATCATCTCAGATCTCAAGGTTTGTGCTAAGGACACACCCATACCATACCGATACCTACCAACCCTCAGAGACACACACACACAGAGACACACACACACATAGACATAGACATAGACATTTGCACCCAAATGTCTGGCTGCAAAACAATTTGCAAACACCTCAGTAGCAACGCGGGCCAACATGCCAATAAGATCAAGTCAAACGTACATCTTCCCGTTGCCTGCCTTGACTTTGAAAGACTCCGCATGGGTCTGCGCGGTGGCATTTGTGGCCATGCCGTCCATCTATATGCAGCATCAGCGGATGAAATTCTATTACTGGGCACTCCTGGCGCCATGGTGAAAAATGGGAAAAGACACCCTGCAAGACATTGCAATATATTGTAAGCTAGCAGATTCTTCCGAGCTCTAATGTCTGTCACATTGCGGCAGTCATTGGTCATCTACAGTAAACCTAGGTGCTCTCTGCGGGCATGCTGTTGGCTTCGGTGGTGAGTTGGGATTTTCGTCAGATCCTACACATGCTGCCCCTATGTGGCCTCCTGCTGCTGTCAGCTTTGAGGCCATTACCGTAAACGCCGTAGTGCAGTGACACTGGTCATGGTCGGTCATGGTTTGATGCTTCAGGATGTCCGGGAGAACGGGCATCGATTTCTACAACTCTAGTCACATGAGGCCGGATCCTTGTATGAGAGTGCTTGTGAAGCCTGCTCAGTCGTATAGAAGCATCCGTAGAATCGAATCGAGTCTGACAAAGGTCAATGTTCATAGGCTAGTGGGAGCCACCTGCAATAGACTTCATGAGTCAGTTATGGATCGTTGTCGAACGCTTGCTTGACAAACCATGTGGAGGTGGCACATCGTCTCCACTCTAGCAATTTGCTTCTTGGCAGCAGATTGCATCGGCGCACACTGTTGTTGGCTTCGGGCAGCATGAAAGGCTGGAAGGATGTGAAGGCTCACTGCTGGCATGCTCGGATTTCCTTAAGACACTGAAGTCTTGCTGCTCAAACACCTTCTGCTCCCAAATTCTTGGGATCGCCGAAGTCTCCTTTGTCTCAATCGTTGTCACGGAATCTTGTGTGCCCAACTGTCTCAGTCTATCTCAGTCTGAGGTCTCTGTATGGCTCTAAGTTATATCGATGACCTTCGCTCTCGCAGCTGGGTCGGCTTTGCAGAGGTAGCCATCCTCGCTCCAGAGTTGTTAATCATGAGGCGCCGCGAGCGAAGTGCCTCGAGCAGAATTGGCATTGGGAGACCATGGGAGACCAAATGTTGGTCAGCCATTGCACCGTGCGGATTGACTCGCGCGCACACACACACACACGTACCGTGGCCACCTCCTTCTTTGCTGGTCGCTTATGGCAGTTGACATTCGTAGTTGACAGCATATTGCGAATGCGACGAATGTAAAATGGTGTGCCGCATATATAGTGACATAGTTACCTACATGGAAGATGTGGAAAGCTCATGAAAGCTCCTTGCATGTAGTCCGGATTACCCTCATATCACGAAGGTACCTATTTACCTATTGCCAGTCCGATTGCCAAGCGTTTTGCTTCGGAAGAGGAATCGCCAAAGTTCAAGACACGGTCCAGTTTTAGGTTTTGGGGCGAAGGCAAACGGCTCAGTAGGCCTTCAAAACTGCATACCCGTCAAATTGTCAAGGTATAGTGAGTCACAGTGAGTCATAAGACACTGTTTGGCCACATGGTTTTCATCGTGGGATGGGCGCCTTGCAAGCCATCAAGGTCCGGCCCGGACTTTGCAGGAGTGCCTCTTCAAAGTATGGCTTGGCACTGGAGTGGCCAAGCTGCAATGGCCAAGCTGCAAGTCAGGATCAAAATGTCTCATGAAGTCTTCTCCTGAAAGTCCTTGACTCCTTGGCGTTGAATACGTTGTTTTTCTTCAATATCCGCGCTGCCATCCTGGTCCTGGCGGAACATTTTTGTGATCCTTTTGTTTGGCCTCTTGTTGTTGCGATATGTTGGATTGCCAATCTGCCAGTTGGTCTTCTCCTTTTGCCCTTACCTCTACGGGTTTTGCAGGGGAGGGATTTCGAGGGGAGGAAGTTTAGAGCTTGGTACCTTTATATCCCGCATTTGGGCACTTTGGGCCACAAGCCTGATAAGCAGGAGGTCACAAATCCAGTCAAATCTGATGTTCAGTCAAATCTCTGTTGCAGACCATTGCCCAAATCCAGACGATAATGAATCACAAGACAACGGAAGTATGATTCATGGACTTCGTCAATGACAAGCGCAATGATGGCTGTAAAACAGGTAATGATGGTGACAATGTGCCACTATCCGTACAGAACTTTGCCGGTCAGACTCCCGAAAGTTCCAATGTCCAAGGAAAATTGCATAATTCCCTCCGAATATTGGTCGGTTGGTTTTCTCTGACAAGCTTTGGGCTGCATTACCAGGGGAGGGCACGCACATACTGCGTATACTGCTCTAGGCAATATATACCCAGTATATAGTGCGTATATACTGCTCCAGGCAGTATACATCCAGTATATACTGCGTATATACTGCTCCAGGCAATATATACCCAGTATATACTGCGTATATATTGCTCCAGGCAATACATATCCAATATATCATGAGTCTATATACTCAGGAAAATTATTGTCTTTTCTGCATTTTCCTGCTCATTTGTCACTTGCTCACTACAATTCCAGACCCATTTTTGGCAGGCCCCCCATCACCTGCCCCCAGATTCTGACAGCAGTGCTCAAGACAAGAAAAAGAAAACAGGAAAGAACAAAATTATTATAGACACACATGATAAGCACCAGGCCAGGCAAAGACCAAACCTGACAACGCAAAGAAGAAGCAAGAAGTAACTATCAAAGATAGCATGGCCCAATCGGCATTTATTTGTGCACTCCTCGCGTGCAGTGATGAAAAAGAGCAGCGAGCAAGTGAATCCCTTCATCCTGCTTGGTGCCAATTTCCCCAATGTATGCCAACTACTTTTTGTTGCTGCTACCTGTATAGAGAGCCTTCTATAAGCCTTCTATATTGATCATATTTAGGCAGTATATACCAGGTATATACCATGTATATATTCATGTTCTTCAGCAAAAAAACTGATCCCCTGGAATTTGGGAACCAGAAAAGTTCCTTGATTACCATTTGCGACGCCCTCGGCCCTCGTCATTCCGTTATCATTCCATTCCATGTTATTTCCGCTCATTTGAAATGCTGGGAAACATGTTCAGAATTTTGGGGTTAAAGCTTTGAGGTTTGTCCTCTTGATTTTGTTTGCCATTGTGCAGGGACTTGTTGTTTGATTGATGCGGTTTTGCAGGTGATCATGTCGGTGATGTCGCTAGCGATTCCTGAGCACATGGCAGATGTGTTGGACGAATGGGGTGCGGTAAGCTTGATCTTGGAGAAGATCATCCTGGGTGCCTTGGTTGAATTCAAAGCAGCGCAGCATGGTTGAGATCTCAAAGGCCTCTCGCCAGAGTCTGGAACTAATTTGAATTGCAGGGCTGCAGCCGATACGCAGAATGATGCAGAATGATGCAGAATGATGCAGAATGTGATTAGAATGATGTGGAATGATCATTTTTAACTTTGCAGTGATGTGCGGTGAGCTTGCATTTCTACAAATCGATGTGCAGGACACCTGGGTGAGCATCACCACTCGAGCATCGCCTTGCCGACAAGCTGGAGCGCCCAGATTTTTGTGCGACCGTTGAAATGCTTGGAGCCAAATGTTTTGCATTTTCTGCTTCTTCCTGTGCCATATTGTGCCATCCTGATTTCTACACTTTCTACACTTGAACCTGGTAACGCCTGGTAAGGTGGCTTAGATCTGCGACGTTGCCACTCAGAGCCATGAAGGCGGCATGCTGGGGTCGCTTGGTCGCTTGGGTCGTTTGGGTCGCTTGGGTCGCTTGGGTCACTTGGGTCTTCCTGGTTGGTTTGCGGCGACCTTGGCCAGGCTGGGCACCAGCACCGCCAGCAATTGGCTCTTAGAATCTTTGAATTAACAGCACCGGCGTTAAGTGCTCTTCTCACCTAAGAGGTGTGTGCAACCGGTGTAGGTCACAGGCCACTGCTTGCGGCTGTGGTTGGATTGGGCTTCAGATATACAGGTTCAAGGAGCAATGGATGCAGCCTCATGGTCATATTGGCCAATTTTGCAATATAGGTTCTTCCGTGTTCGGAAGGTCATATTTGATACATGCGTTTTTTCTGTTTTTATCGGGCATGCGGTTTGATTCATGGATCCGGGACCGAGTTGGATAGTCCTTGCATGGAAAGAGGCCCATCCAGCCGGTGGAGACACAGCCCTCAAAGAGGGAAGGGTGATATGCAGGCCATGCGGAGGCACAAACCAATTTTTCCCTCTGCGCAGAGTCTGACCAGATTTAAAAGTCCGAGTGCTGAATATGCTCACAATCCGATGGACTTCAGCCCGGCTGAGATCAAAGGTCAGGTCTATCCTCTTTTTTGGGGCCTATTTCAGATACCAGTGAGATATAGTGAGATCCCTCCTTCATGCACACTCAGTCGCATGTCATTAAGACAGGCTGGGATAAGTCAGCCGGCAGCATCAGTTCATCAGCGTCAGTCCACTGGTCGATTAGGATTAGGCAGCTGTCAATCGGTCTGTGTATATATATATACACATAGTGTGTGCTCAATCAGACTGAAAGAGACACCGCCTGCAACACCAATCCGAATGGGAAACAGTTTCATTCCAGAAAAACTTTCAGGCTACTGTGGTGTCAACGTTTGCCTGGTGCTCGGCAGTTAAAATTGATGTTTCCTTCTGGTATTTGCAAGCCTTGATCACCAAGTATAGCTATGCAACATGTGTCATGTGACGTATCCCCGCCAGGCTTCAACACACTGGGACTGTACCTCACGAAGCATGGCAGCGCAGTTCTAAATGTTTCTGTGGCATCTTTCATCATTTTTGCATCATGAACCTGCCGAAGATGGATCAAGTCGCGAAGTCCGCAGCGGATAAGCCGAGCAGATCAGCCTGATGCCAGGCTTTAAGCTACTCGATCTTGTTGCCATTTACCACGGCCCTTTTCTTCACGCCTTTGCTTGGTCCATATCAGGCGCTTTCTCCAGATGTTTGTTTGCTTTTGTTTTTAGCTATACTATATTTTGATTGAAACTGATTGACGCACCGGAAAATGTCTATAGGTGGGATGTATCAGCCACATGCCAGACAGGAACCACTGACGCGCGATGCATACTTCACTTTCATTGGCCTGGTGGTTACCTTGTTTGGCTTCGCCATCTACCAGCTGTGCGCCTACTGAGATGATTCTGAGATGTTGATAGGAATGAAATGGAATGGAATGCTTCGGAGATTTGCCTTGACCCTCACAGGTACAGTCAGCAAGTGGGAGAATCGCGACGTGTGTGAGCTCCTCAAAGCCGACTCACTGTACATTTCACACACACAGATATATATGTGTATATATATATGCATGCTCAGCGCCCTTAAATGGACTTACCTTTTTCCCATCTTCGCAAAACATACATGAACATATATGTCTGATCTAAGTGTCGGCCTTCACGATGACTTTCTAGCCATCAGGAACTGACACAGACTGTTTTGCCATTGCTCTTCTGCTGTTTCTTTTTATGAACCACATTGTTGAAGCATACATGAACATAGTTTGTCTCCAGCAAAAACTGCCTCGACGCTATAGACGGCATCAGCATGAATGATTGGGATTGAAGCATCAATAATTACACATGAGAAAATATCTCTTTTAATATTGATAATAAAATGACAAAAAAAACATGCGTTTATATTTATGAGTATCGCTTTGGTATCATTCACTGATGTCTGACATCCTTGTCTATCTTCTCTACTGCGATTCCGGGTGCGCGATGGAGAGCCTAGCAGTTCTGGAGGAGTGACCGGCAGCATATTCATAATATCAGGTGTCGGGGGAGGCGGCGAGGACCAGGAGGAAGCGCAGACATAGGAGTTCTTGGTGCCAGTAGGGGAGAGCGACTGCGATCTTCGCGGTTGGAGTGGTTAGGCCGCGCGTTTTCCTCATCGGACCACCTTACTTGACTTGTATGCGAACGTGTTTTCTATTTAGCCAGGTATACGTCACAAAAAGTGCACAAAGTAGCTGCGTGCAGGCAAAAGACTCCCAAGAATCATCTTTGAATTCGTACTCGCGCTCCTCCGATGGGGAAAGGTCCATGTCAGACACTTCAATGATCTCAGAAGCATCGTTTAGCCTGGGACAATACCGGTTGTGTGTTTGTTCGTATGTACACAGTGGCGATATCGTACAACACAAAGACTGAGAAGAAGCAACCTAGACAATTAAGTTTAACTGGCGTATTATTGTGATTACATTTTAATATACATAGTGCTTATTTTCCATGGTGTTTGCATAGTTTTTGACATATGTATATTAGCATATTAAACATTTTAATAGCAATGTCCCTCAATGGACCTTGGGGTAGGTCCATTTGAGGGCGGTGACCATGTATAATATATATATACATATATATACATACATACATACATATTATATATATATGCATGACCATTTGCCAAAAATAGTTGACACAAGTTTTGTACTAGTTTCAATACAAGTGTTGATAATTAGTGTGGATCTAGTGGTTTTTCCTCTTCGTTATGAGGAGGCACGCAACTAAATTCACCAATCCCGCAATGCAACGCCAGCAAACCCGCTAGGTTTGCTCTAGTTTTTTTCCCCACACCCATCAAAATGTAACACTTAGCTCCTTAAACCTAAGGATGTCTTAGTGAATTTCTGTGCTACTCAACGATTTTTCTATATTTTTGAGGTTGCGGCTCAACTTTGCGAATTTGTACGTAATTGTACCCGATAGATCCCCGCTAGCAATGCGCTAGCAAAAGTTTCAAAAAATGGCTTTGGTTGACCCGCGACCCAGTCGCCACCAGAGAACTTGTAGTTTATCCTGTCTGACTGACAAAAGCAACAGTGACAGCGAAGGCAACGACCAGCTCTGCAGATATTCCAGTTCCACCACTAATAACTAGCAGCGGCACCCACTTCATATAGACGCGCGTTAGCATTTACTTCAGCTTGTATCTACGGTTTCAAACATGAAAGAAAAAATGCAGGGAGGGTTTCAGACTATTTAGGTCAGTCATGTTTTTCAAGGCACAATAAGAAGCGGCATGCAAGGAATTACGATTTATCAACCCAACCAGGACAAGACATTTTGGCAAATCGTCATATTTATATATAATTATATGTATGTGTATATATGTATGTATGTATGTATGTATGTATGTATGTATGTATGTATGTATGTATGTATGTATGTACGTATGTACGTATGTACGTATGTACGTATGTAAGTATGTAAGTATGTAAGTATGTAAGTATGTAAGTATGTAAGTATGTAAGTATGTATGTATGTAAGTATGTATGTATGTATGTATGTCTGCCTGTATGTATGTATGTAGGTACGTACGTACGTACGTACGTACGTATGTACGTACGTACATATGTACGTATGTAAGTATGTAAGTATGTAAGTATGTAAGTATGTAAGTATGTAAGTATGTAAGTATGTATGTATGTAAGTATGTATGTATGTATGTATGTCTGCCTGTATGTATGTATGTAGGTACGTACGTACGTACGTACGTACGTATGTACGTACGTACATATGTACGTATGTAAGTATGTAAGTATGTAAGTATGTAAGTATGTAAGTATGTAAGTATGTAAGTATGTAAGTATGTAAGTATGTATGTATGTAAGTATGTAAGTATGTATGTATGTCTGTATGTCTGTATGTATGTAAGTATGTATGTATGTCTGTCTGTCTGTCTGTCTGTATGTATGTATGTATGTATGTAGATTGTATTATCATATGTCAGTATTTCCTTCTAAATCGTGAGTGAAGATGGAAGGATCGGAATGGACCAACGAAGTCCCTGCACCGAGGCCTTCGACACCCCTCCTGTCGCCAACACCTGCTTGCCCTTCAGCGTACGTGCACCCAGTTGGAATCTCCGGCTTCACCTTTCACATTTTTAACAAACACGCTGACAGTTTCAAAAGTTTTCAGGGTTCTAAACAAGTTCCAACAAGTTCGAACTGTTCTGCTTGTCTTGAGTGTTCGTGTGTATCCTTGTGTCTACAGTATTCATTAGGTGGTTGTGACACGTTGTGAAAGATTGTGACACTTGTGCCACCTTCAGGTCCCTGCTGGAGGAGTTCCTGGAGTCTCCTCAAACACCCTCCGTTTGTTGGCAGCTTAGTGTCTTACGTGTTTTCCATGGCAACCCCAAGAGAGACAGAGAGAGACATAGGCAATACATAGACATGCTGGTGCGGGGAGTGCCGAGGCCAGCCTTCCTTCCAGGACATGCAAGCCACAATTGACACTTGCTGTTTTTGTTCATCATTGTTAATGTATGCCGCGACTTGGAAGTTGCCGAAGTCTAAGTCTGATCATCTATGATCCAATCATCAGAGTCGGCGAGGAGCGCGTGGTCATGGCACCTGTAAATCCTGTAAGGCACATGGGCTTGCAGGGTTACTGAGATAGCCAGGTGGTGGTGCAATTTGCTGGCCTGAATTGGTTGATGTCCAGCTGGTCAGCCACTTTTCACTGGTTTGCCCCCCTGCTAACAACAATGTGGAGGTGACAATGTCGTTCAACTACCATCACACTAGGAACTTGGTTTTGTTGCCGCTGTTGCTATTGAATAGATTATGACATACTATGACATGCTGTATTCTGATCAATTGCAATCTGCGATGTGGCAATTTCAATGCGGCAGTGTAGGTCCTTTGGCTAGGTTTCAGGAACGGAGCCCTGGGCCTTTCAAAACCAAGAGTGGATTTCATACTGTACATCCTTCCATGGCTTGGCTTGCATTAGCTTGCGCAGTTGGCAATTTCCCATGGAACTTTGGCAGCTTGCAGGAAAAACTCGGGAGGGCTTGCATGAGTCCCGATTGGGGATGTGCCAAGCTGTATTGGCAGGTGCCAGTGTGTTTGCCGCGGAGATGAGTAAAATTGTGACCAAATGACCAAGTGACCAAGAATGAGGGTGCAAGAGCAATTTCCCGTTCATCGTAAGGGGAAGGTTCTGCAAGACAAAATAGGAATGGGACCTGCCAACGAGACTCGGAAAGGAGTTGCGTGACTGAGATCAGACTCATGAGGAGAAAAGGAGATTCTTCCAACAAAAATAACAAAATCAGTATATTTTCTGGTACATTTCTAGATTCAACGTAAGGTAGCGAAATGTGACAAGGAACTGGTGGTGCACCGCAAGGCTAGTGCCTGAACAAATATATAGCATTATATGATTATATGGTC